CAAAGCGCGAAGAGGGCCGTGTTGGGGCAACGGCTACTTCTATAGGGAAGGCCTCAGCGCTCGCAAGTTGGAATTCAAAGATGGCGGAGAGGGAAGGCCACATGGCCCCGGCGGCCGGCGACAGGCACCGCCACAGGCCGACCTATGCTATGAAATGTGTTACATTTTAGCACGAACACTTTGTTTGAGGACATCTTTCAACGCAGTTCTTAGGGTGGATCTATCCGTTAACAACGAGTTCTCGACGTTTGTGAAGACGGACACATGTGCACGTGCCGGGATATAAATGTAGTACATTTCAGTCGAAACATTCGTGCCGTCTTCCAAGTGCTTCAACACCAAGTCGACGTGCCGTGCACGAGGTGTGTCTTTGTGTCAGGAATCCTACGTACTGGTACGCAGGATAATTTCATTCGCAGCATAGGTGACAAATGCCATAATTTCAGCTTGATTTGTGGTATAGATGCATGTAGCTCTTGACTAGAAGATTTTGAACTCCTTGCATTCACAGAGAAAATTTATTTCTGATGCTGCGTTGTCGCCCAGACTTACCTGAAACTTGACGCCACAGCATATGCCTTTGAAGATGATTATGCTTTGTACTAGGAGAGATGTTTAGAGTCTTCGTTGAACTGATGGCTGCCTAACACAGATAAGTTTATGTGTTGTGACTTGTACATAAGCAAATAAAGGGAATAAATTTTCCGCACCAATGTGTATCTATGGTGCACTTTTCAAAATACGGTGCATACATGTATAGAAAGGTGTGTGCCATCTCGTAGGAAGCAAACTAAAACGAATAACCCATGGCTCACGAGGGAGATTTTATACATCAAAAGGAAAGCCAATGGGCTAAGCGGAAAACGCGGAAACAAAATAGAATTGACTGCCTTACGTCATAAATTGAGAATAAGAATTCCAAGTATAAGTATTTCAACGTTAAAATGTCGAACTTCCTCTCTAACGATCCCCAAAAGTTTTGGAGGCATATGTCGGGTTCAAGAAATTCAGTTAACAAGATCATGCATTATGGGAGAGAAATTGTTGATAATGTTCAATCGCGAAAATATTTAACGACTACTTTGCTTTGTGTACACCGCGAGTGACAACTTCGTTCCTGAGTTCTCGATTAAACTCGCTCATGTACCTGACATACAACTATCTGAGGAGCGAATCTTCTCTGCGTTACTAAATTTGAATACAAAAAAGTCTTGCGGTCCAGACAAAATTCCTAATGTTTTTTTTAAAGGTACGCTGAGCGGTGTTCTAATTTTTTTTTTTATAATTTATAGCAGATCACTAGGGAGAGGGATGGTACCTAAACAGTAGAAAGTGGCAAAAGTTATACCCATTCATAAGAAAGGAAATAAACATGACGCATCGAATTATAGGCCCGTTTCCTTGCTCTGCTCGTGCAGCAAGGTTCTAGAGCATTTTTTATTTAGTCATCTCATGTCACAATTTTGAATCGAATAATTTTTTTATCAGAGAGCCAGCATGGTTTCCGGCGTGGCTACTCTACGGTAACTCACTTCCTTTATATAGTAAATGAGCTTGCAAAAGTCGTTGACAAGGATGGGCAAATGGATGTAGTATTCCTAGATTTCGCCAAGGCTTTTGATCGCGTGTCACACAGCAAACTATTTATCAAGCTAAGAGTGATTCTACAAAACGATAAGCTCTTGCGATGGTTAGATTCTTACTTGAGCAATCGTCATCAGTTCGTTGAAGTAGATGGGGCATGCTCCCCAATTGTATCAGTTACCTCGGGCATTCCACAAGGATTGGTGCTGGGCCTACTGCTCTTTCTTGTTTTTCTGAACGATTTGACGGTTGATGAGCGTATACACTGCCGGGTTTTTTTGCATATGACTGTGTGCTTTTTACCGAAATAGCTTCAAGCAATGTCCAACTTAATTTAATCAAGTGCCTGTGTTCAATTTCTCAATGGTGTAACGAATGGCAAATGTTGCTAAACAGCTCGAAAAGTGTACAAATGAGAGTAACGCTCAAAAGGTCACCCTTGGAATTTCACTACTGTATACAAAACTCCCCTTTACAAGTTGTGCACGAATTCAAATACTTAGGTGGCATTATCTCCTCGAACCTCAGTTGGAATAGCCACATATCCTGGACTGCTCAAAAGTTATCAGCAAAGCTATGGTCATTGAAGAGGCGGCTGAAGCACTGTACTCCTGCAACCAAGCTTGCAATCTACACGACAGTAATACGACCTGTTTTAGAATACGCAGATGTTGTTTGGGACCCTGCATCTAAACTTAATATTGATAAACTCGAGGGTGTACAGAAGAAAGCACTGCGCTTCATTTACAACGAATACAGAAGAATGAGCTCTATCACTAACTTGTACAATAGGCCGAAAATTGAGCTTTTTTCAACCGGGCGCAAAATTAATCGTCTAAAGCTTTTGTATACCTTTGTACATGACTCATCTCACCTTTCATTCGAGAGATTTATGCAATTTAACAGATCCTGTCACACACGACACAAGCACTCCAACATAATTGTGGTACCTTACAGCAGAACCCAGAGTTTAAAAAACTACTTTTTCGTACGAACCATTAACGAATAAAATAGTCTCCCTGCCAACATTACCAATGTCTCGTCCGTTCAGGAATTTGCCTCATCATTACAGCGTTGTTTCTTAATGCGCAGTCCTAGATTATTTTTCTTTCACTAGCATGTAATGTGGTTCTCTTCTTGTGTGTTGCCCTGTGTGACCTCCACTGCCTTGGCTGCCAAATGGCAGCCGGCAGTATGTGTAAATAAATAAATAAATAACCCACCCTATTACTCTCTAATCAGGCATTTTCATACTTTGGTGCAGGCATGGGGCGAATGACACAAGAATTTTCTCCTCTTAATGTTGGGGTGTAAGTTCAAAAACTTTTATTGGAAGATAAATCTCCGAACCTTGATTTGAAAGATTATGACAAGATTTCAGGTAGCTCTATAGCTGCGAAAAGGGGTAAACTCATCCTCAAAATAAATTAAAATTATTGTATAAATTGTTTGCACATACTACAACATCTTTAGTAAAAAAAACAAAAAAAAAACAAAGAAACCAACATCGGACAGCTAGTTTTTGACCACTATGTTGATTTCAGATAGGAATGCAGTTATTACATGCTTTCATTACGTCAACCGTGTTCATTCATTTCATTAGTCATATTAAAGTGTGGTGGCAGGGACAAAAGGTGCTTAATAGCACCTGACCAAGGTCCTGTGCCCCATACTAGTTTCAGAGCGGCACAACACATACAGGGTACGGAAAAAAAAGGTTGTTTGCACATTTTGTTGCAAGATATTACTTATGCTCCAATATAGAATCCCTCATTCCTTTTTTATTGTATCTATCGACTTTACTCTTTCAGCCATTTCCAGAATTTCAGGATGCATGTTTAGAAGTTGCTAAATTTGCTATGTTTGTTCGCCATAGCTCGTTCGTATTTGACCTCTAGCATATTCAACACGTCTTAAGTTGTAGTGAGTATCTCTTATGGGAAATCGGGTGTTAAATGACTCCGTGTCAGTTTTGAAATAATGAAAGATGACTTTTGTAAGGTTGAACATAATTAACTGCTGTGTAGTAAGAAAGCGATGTTTTTTTCTGTTTCTTTAATAAGCATGCAGATGTGTGCATATTAAACCAATACACTTGAGGGATTGGATCGCTTTCTTTCTGGTGCACGAGTATTTGTTCAGGACCACTTTTTGTTTTCACCCCAAACCAATGAGCACTAATGTAAGTGAGTGAACAAGGGCATAGTATAATTGGTACTTAAGTCATGTTGGTAATAAATATCTTAATTTATGTATTGGCGCCGATTAATCTGGAGAGTATTCAAGAGACCTTGGACACATAGTCGTCTAGTACAGGTGTTCATGAAATGAAATCATACACCGAGGAATTTTAAAGATTTAACCTTCGCCAGTTTGTAGGAGTTAAACTTTATATAAATGTCGTAGTTAAGCATCTTCTTTCTTGCTCTAAAAACAATATATTGAGTTTTTAATATATTCATTTCCACCTTGTTTGCAACTAATCAAAATGATAAATTATTTAAACAATCATTAGCTGTGCTTTCAGAATACTGGAGGTTACTATTTGAAAAAAAAAAAAAAAAAATCTAGTATTCTGCCTGCGACTGGAATGGTACTGTGATATGTAATGCCGTTTTCAATCGTTCTTTATTGTGAACTTTTTGGCTAGTACTCTTCACAGGTAATCCATCTTGTGGGGATAGTTATAGCATTTACAATTTCGGGCTTAAAAGTAAACCCTATCTATCTCGACACTTCGTTATACACCTACCTTCTTCTTGCATTTTACGCCAGTGACTTTATGCAACAATAATAGGCCTTTCTAAGAAAATCAGCTTGACAACCCAAATGTTATGCACAGTTGGCATGTAAGGAAATGAATACGCTTGCATGAGTAACAACTCGTCGCTATGACAGTAAATCCACCCGTGTTGCCTTCTCTTCCGCGCTCTAGAGCGGCCCCAATGGACTTTCCTTTCGGCCATGCGGAAAGAGCGCCGAGGCCTTCCTAATCTAGGAGGTGTCAGTTGGGGGCGGGGTAAAAAGTGGAGAGGATAAAGGAAAGGGAAGAGGCGGACAAAAGTGAAAAGCGCGAAGTGTATGTCGGCCTTTGAGCTGCAGTCTCACTGCCAATGCATCCTACAAAGGACAGTCTGCAAAACACTGGCTTAGGCCTGTTTTTCTTCCTTGTATGACGGTCAAGTTGGTTATACAGAAACCGTCTGCGGCCATGTTCGAATCATGTATGAAGCAAACATGTTTCGAACATGCTTGAGTCGTACCCGCAGATACTTCTGTCTTCATGTCCGCAGAGAAATATCTGTGTCTTTTATATGATCTACGAGCAGTGTGGCTACGGCTTGAGTGAGTTTAAATGTGCGATGAAGTGGCACCCCCTCACTCTCCAATCTCGTGATGTCTTGTTGCTCGTGTAGGGACCACGACCCCGCTGTACTACATGCCCCTATTTGAGACCGAGACGGAGGTGTACCCCGAGGTCCTCTACTACGGTGACGAGAACACGGTTGTACAGATCGTCGAGGGCTACGAGCTCCACCTACACCACACGGCTATCTTTCCTCCGAGGGTCCTGGTACGGACATTCAAAGACGGCGAGCCCATCGACAGAGTGGTGAGTGCGATAGGCTGGAAAGAAGAAAAAAACAATATTTTGTAAATAATTAGAACAAAAAAATGGGGGCAAGTTGATGTCATTTAGCACCTGAAGGTCTAGATGGACCTGGCGAAAACCCCAGTGCAGCAGTACTTTATGTAAGATATTAGCTTCTTCAGGGTCCTTCAGGGAGTGCTTTGTGGACATTCCTCGAGAGACTTATGTCGGGACAAGTTGATGTCATTCGATGTCTCGGATGATACTTGAAGATGAACCATCTGGAAGGCTTACAGTGACCACTGGCTTTGTGTAAAATATTAGGTTCTTCAAGGATCTTCAGGGCCTGTCTTGTGGACGCTTCTCAAGAAACCTATGTAGGGTCAAGTAGACGTCATTCGATGTCTCGGGTGATACGGGAAGATGAACCGTCTGGAATCCTTGTTACCGCCCACTTTATGTAACATAATCTTCTCCAATGTCCCTCATGACGCGTATCGTGAACGTTTTGCAACATACTCGTAATCACTGGCAGAGAATGGTATCTAAGGTACGTGATTCTTGCCTCGTGATTAGTCTTTAGGAGTACTTATAGGCTCATGCCACGACCTAATTACAGAGATAAATGGAGAGCGGCAAAATTACAAAGACAGGAGAAAATATTTCTAAGTGGCCAGTTTGAAAGATGTTTTGTTTTGCCTTGGTCCTTTCGTTGCTTTACTCCTATTCCTGTAAGTTAGCAGCACACTTTAGTTCGTCGAGCACTCTCATTGGCTGCGAGTGATTGTCAGACGCTTAAGACTCACCACAGCCTGCGTTTCTTAAGTTTTGGGTGACTATAAGCCTCGAAGAAGTTATAGGTCTCTTAGCGAAACGTCGACCTCAATTCTTAGGTTTTCGTAGGGTTTCTTTCTAAGCACTTTACACCGGGTTGATTCATAGATAGAATAGCTTCGTATTCTATTTGGTGTATAGTATCGAAAAGACCTTGTCACTGCGATTTTTATAGCGTAAAGAGCGCGTGATTTTATTTCATACTTCCCCAAAGAACTGGTCTTGTTTTCGTCGTAGATAGCACACGTTATCAACGCGTGAACAAGTCGGACGCGGTCAGCGCGCTTATTAGGAGCCATCTATGTCATGGTCGTTGGTGAGGCGCCAAGAATTATGGCGGAGTTGCGTTTTCAAAACTGTGAAACGCACTTGATCGTTGTGGCTCCTATCTTGTACGTATTAGAGTTCGTAGTCGGAAACCTTGAAGTTTTTTTTTTTTTTTTTAATATCGTAACGACGTAAGAGGCGACTTCTTTTTTATCTCTCGGAACTCGTCGAAGATGCTTTATTCATTAAAACAGAAATTTTATAACAATCCACAACTGCAGCTGAAGGTCTTCCGAAAGCTCTCTCAGGAGGCTGAGGGGGGGCCAGGGGGGGGGGGGGGGGATATTTTATACGGTAGGGATTCCTGACCCTTTAGAACGGAATTGCAGAATCAAGTTGATTGATCACCATTAGCGTCAAGGGCTCTGTAGCTTATTGTATGATATCATGCAGCGGACACGTAAAGCATAGCTATCGAAAGAAGAATCAGGGTCACATCAGTCCCACACGAACGTCTACTTTCACGCTTAGAATTTCATGAATCAATCACTGCGATTGAAGTGGGTCACCGAACGACGGCAGATCAAAGAGAAGAATGCTTTGACTCCGGTGTGATGCAACATAGGCAAAACGAACCTATGCTACGTCACAGACTCCTTGTCCCAGGTCTTCGAGCTGAATCAATCACAAACATTCACTGCTCGTGATTGATTGAACTGGTGATAAAAAACGGACAAGAGACGACGGGCGCCGTGGAGATGGCTCCATCGGTTAACAGCGTTGGCTGCTGCCGATTAAAGTGAAACTGCGTTTAGCATTTCTCACAGAGCAAGGAGGGCCGCCAATCATCACGACATTCAGAGCCCTTCCGGCGAATGACGAAGCGTAAAGCCAGGGTCGCACTGCTCATAGGTCATACAAATTAGAACAGTCTGCAAACGCGAGCCACTGCAATAATAATAATAATAGTTTCTTTTCCAGTGCCCACAAACAACCTAGCGGTCTACTGTGTGGTGCACAAACATGGGTGAAGTATTATACATATAAGACAAAATACAAATTATCAAAGAGCGAACAACAAACAAAAGCACAAAAAAAGAGAAAAAGAACTAGGGCTTCCCTTGATTTGGCCTGCTTAAGGCAATTGCATCCATTCGCGTTATTGTTGCATAAAATCCTGATGTGCACTAAAATATCAAGGTTATTTTGATGTGCAATATTAAAATCAATTTGAACCCTCAAAGGAGGTGACACAGATGATGTACAGGAGGGGTAAAAAGTTTATTTGTTCCTAATGATTCAGGGTGGAACATGGAAGTCAATAGACTGCAATAAGTCTGTTGAGTTTACATCACCATGTATAATTTTGTATAAAAACATAAAATCTCGGTACTGTCTTCTCACAGTCAGTTTATGCAATAGAAACTTGTAAAGCAATGATTCGGAGTGGTAGAAACACCCCCTTCCAATATACCTATAGTATAAACAAATCTAATCATTCGCTCCTGTACAATTTCAATCGCGATAGCTTGCGAATCAATAAGTTCCAAACCACAGAACAAAATTCTAACCGTGACCTAACCAAATGCAATAAACATGGAGGGGCAGAAAATTGGCGACATAGACGTGAAATCATACCTAATACTCTTAGCGCTGTATTTACGGTTGTAACAACATGATTATAAAAAGAAAGTGTGCTGTCAAGAAAGACGCCAAGATCTCTGATAAACGATATGGGAGGAATTGGGACGCAACCAACGGTGTGCGCAAAGGAAATTCTTTCGCGCTTTTAGATAGAACAATAGATGTAGCTTTTTGTGGGTTCAGCGATAAACAGTTTCCGATACGCCATGAAAAAACAGAATCTCCATCATCTTGAAGACTGGAACAATCAGATACTGACTGGACACTTACGAAAAGCTTAACGTCATCAGCGAAAAGAAGAATTTTGGCATCCTTAACGCAAAAAAAAAAACAATGTCATTTATAAACAAAAGAAATAACATGGGTCCTAGAATTGAGCCCTGGCACACCGGAACTCGAAATAAACTCCTCGGAGTAGCTACCGGAAACACGAACCGGATTGCGACGATGACCGAGATAGTTTGAAAACCAGGCGCAGAGGTGCGGGCTGAAGCCATGCAGGGCAAGCTTGTGTAACAATAATGTGTGATTAACCCGGTCGAAGGCTTTCGACATGTCAAAGAAAATCGCGTCAACCTTACCTCTTCCGGAAACCACTGGAGCGCAGTAATTAAAAAAAATGAGCATAAATTTTATTTACGGACCTGTCCTTCAAAAAACCATGCTGGAATTCAGATATTTTTCTGTTCAAGTAAAAGTATATCCGCTGATGCACTACTTTTTCGAAATCCGTGGTTAGAATGCCGCGTGCCCAAGTTTCCTCCTTGAACTCATTGCTATGCGGCATTTCAAGCACGGATCTCGCGGTGACTCTCGTTCAAATAGGTATGCAGACTGTTTGTTATTTTTGTATGATGTGTAAGCACTATGTTCCCAGCTTAAAGGGGCAGCAAGCGAGCGAAACTTCATGCTCATTGTTTGCGCGAAAATCATGTTTTCGAGCCCATGTTTTTTAGAGCGTTTTTAGTAGGCTGAGTATGATTGACCTTAGTTGTGTTCTGACAAAAATGAAACGAGTATGATTTTTTTAAAGTTTATGGTACAGAACAAAAGAAGGACTTAGTCACAGGCGCGTTAGCCTTCTCAGTTAATAGCTTCGTTAGTACAATAGCTTGAGCAGAGATGACATCTTCGAAATCATGCGCTAGGTGGCGCTGGTCACCGCCCGATTCGGAGGGAACAGCAGCCGTGCGTCCATCCGTCCATCCATCCATCTGCTCAAGCCCATGGCTTTGTCGGCAGTGCACTGAGTGCAGACGTTTGTGACACGAGGCACGGGTAATTACAGTAACAGCCTCCTGCGCGCCTCCATCTTTGTATGCAGTGGACTGTGGGAGGCGTTCTGAGCGTGCGCGGTAGATTTCTCCTGCAGAATATCGGCAATCCCGCATACGTCCAAAGTCCAGCAGTCCGATGACTTGGCGCTTTTAGCCATTGTGCGCCGGGAAGGTATAAACATAGCAGACTTGTATGGTACTCCTTACAAGTAATCAAATTAATGGTAACGAAATACTTGTTGGAGAAATTTTGTGATCACTCGATTACTTTTATTGGGAAGTAATCACGAGAGTAATCAGATCAATTTTAGAATTACTAAAATTACGTGCAACCGTCGCTATCTTTGCCTCCACTTCCTGGCGCTTTTTGTTGCTACGAGTTTCCTACTAAAAATTAATCGAACAGTTTCCCCGACAGGGGGATAATGTAGCAAAACTGATGTATTGAGAAGATTTCTAGTTTTTAATTAGGTTATTCTAATCCGATGTCGGACAGTACATGAATACCCATTTTTAAACCGGAGGAAAAACCTGTCGTTTTGTAAGCCTGAAGTAATAAAAAAGTAACTGTTACTTTTTTCCCGTGTAACGCCCAATTACCTTTCCTCTCAAGTATTCTAGGGATCTAATTGAATACTTTTTAACCAAGAGTAATTGGAATCGATGATTTTTTTAGTAGTGCGTACAATACTTATACATAATCAAAGACAACTCAAAAGAAACGCCGGGTTTGGCTTATTACCATCGTGCCTTCTTGTTCGTCCTTCGGCGCTCTTATCGGCTAACGTAGCGGTCTCATTGGCTGTTCAATTCAATTTTTGAATTCGATTCAATTCAATTCAGTGTTTATTTTCTCTCGTGCCTACCAAGAGCTCAAAGGGCTTTTCGGTAAAGCACCACTGTGGAGTGATTAGTATAGAAACTATAGATGATGCGGAGTGCATATAGGTGCTAGAGATTCACCCCATGCCCGCGTTTATCAAGCTGCTGTCCCACTGCGAATACATCATACAAAATACAAACTACACATGTTTATAAAAAACATCTCTGCAGACATGTTCGAAGCACACTTAATACGAGCAGACGCATTCACTTAGAACATGTGCTTGAGGTGCGTACGCAGACGATTCTGTTATCGCGTCTGCAATGGACACCCTTATCTTTTGTATCATGTATGAGCGATTTGACGGCGGCTTTAAACAGCCAGCCACTGTAGATAACTCGGGATGCTTCGAAATGGCGTTAATCACTGTATTCGGAGAGCAAGCTGCGCCTGCTTCTTGCGCAGGGGTGGCGGTGACGTCATGACAGCGCCGAGTTCTGATTGGCTTTGGAAGGGTAGTGGGTAGACCTCAAAGCTACAGGCCTTGAGGCCTACCCACTATTTTTTTTTTTTTTTTCAAGGAGCCAATAAGAGCTTGGCGTTCTGACATCACGCAGCCCCTATGCAAGAAGCAGACGAACTTGTACTCCGCATCTAGTATTGCACGGAATCTAGCTTTTTTAGAAGGCAGAGAAGTGTGCAACAGAGAGAAGAGTGCCCATTAATGCGAGCGTTCTGTGTGTCCTTCTATCCTGGGCAGATGCGCACCACCGACATTCGGAAAGAAATCTTCTGCGACGATAGCAACGGCGCCACGCTCATGATCCGGCGCAATCGAGAGTCCAATCAGACCACTGTGGTAAGTCCCTGCCCCGATCGCCCTCGAACGGGTTCTCGTCGCCATCTGCGAAGCCGCAGTTCGCCCTTCTCCGTGGCCCAGTTCGAAAGAACTGCATGGCAGCGGAGGCATGCGGCTCGGAGGCAGGCATCATCACATCCACGCGACGCGGATATCGGTCGGTCTTGTGGCGGGAAGTATACACTCTCTCCGATGCTCTAATTGCCCTTATTTTTTTTATTTTATTTTTACTTCCGTTTGTCGACTTTTGCCGAGTTTGATTTTGGGTCCGATAGGTGAGATGGAGCGAGCAAGCGCCCAAGTTGTTTTTTTTTTTTTTTTTTTTCTCTCTCTTGTCCTTCTTTCAGTTGCTTCCTCGACTTTCCCTTGTGCGGACTTTTTGTTCGTTCGACGGTAAGGTCGTGTCGGCGTGTTTGCTTTTATCTTTGCGTTTAAAGGTTACTCTTTTACTGCCTTTTTTTTAAGTCAAAATGCTGGGGCTAAGCATTGCATCGTTGTTTAGTCGATCAGGTTCCGAACGCAGTATGGCGAATTAATTCTAAATGCAGAAACTGTTTTCTTACCTCTAATATGCATTTTCATGTCAAATAAAGTTATTATTATTATAATTATTAACGAGCATGACGCATTATTATGCTCAGTGTCATAATGCAGACTCCTTTCTTATTTTTGAGCGCGTTTTTAGCTTAGTCATTCGCCGAAATTTTGCCCCTGTATAGATTGCTGCTATTGACTCTCCCAAATGCATTGCTTTGACTGTCGCCTGAGGTCCCTTTGTCCCTTCCGGAACCCGGCCATGTATATTCGTATATATATAGATATATGTATGGCTCATATTTTCAATCCAGACTGACAAGTTCCAGCTTCATAAAGGGTATGCGCAGTAAGCCAAGTCTGGTAGATTCAGTCTTAAAACACAAGCGTACGACCAGCAACGCTTCGTAATCAGCATTTTAAAAAAGTGTTTTTATGAAGGGCGTTAAAACTGCATGGTTACTGCCCACACGCAGAATACAAATTGGCTCCCTAATCAAACCTTGGTTACTGATCTGCCAATTTCTCTTTTCCTTGAGACGCCGCTATCTTAATGATTCCATTTAAATATTGTTTTTCACCAACAAAACAAAGGTTGAAAGGAGGGGACCTCGAATAAATAGGTATATAGACGTGAAATTATATTCGTTCTTCGGACTTGAGAATAAATCGACGTTGTGAGCACCTGAACGGGACGAAACTTCACAAGAATATAACAAATTTTTTGTAATGAAAGGGTTATAAAGCAGAGTTAGAACGTAAAGGGAATATAGTTTAAAAGGTGTGTCGTGTGTATATGAATTTATATTTATTTCAAAATATTTATTGAATGATATTCATTAGCACAATTATTTAATTAACTATCAATGCCGCTTCTTTTTTTTTCATTTTTTGGAGTGGGCAAAGCGTTTTATTTTTTTTCATATGTTTCGTTTGATGACATTGCGTGTTTTGTTTTCAAAGTTCAGTATATATATATATATATATATATATATATATATATATATATATATATATATATATATATATATATATATATATATATATATATATATATATATATATATATATATATATATATATATATATCAGGACTGAGTCAGTCCTGATGAAGGCCTAACTCAGGCCGAAACGTCAACCAATATGCCATAAAACTCCACTAAAAGCTTCGAAGTTATGTTTACTCTGTAACTTTTTGTGGTCCTACAAAACAGTCTACATATATTATAGACTCTTTCGAAACAGTCTCTTTCTCTATCTCTCTCTCTCTCTCTCTATATATATATATATATGCACTTATTGATGAGCTCAAATCTGTCACTGATAGTGTTCCTAACTGTTGCTAAAACTATTTCTTTATTTTTAATGCAGGAAGGTATAATTGACAACGAACTACGGATAATGCCCAACAAGGATCCAAACGCCAAGAAGAACTCCCACAAGGTGTACAGGGTCAAGGACAAGTCTTCACACGTCCTCGACTCGAGTAAGCAAAGTTGCGGACGTGGCTGATTGGCCCCGTACCCCGAACCAGAGTCGACCTACCATAAACCAACAAACTGTCGACCAACAAGTCCGCGTCGGCCCCCGTCCTCTTGTGAGCACTTGGCTTGCGCGGGAAACTACATCCGCGCCAATGGATATATCCATTGGCGCGCCGCCACCATCGCGTGACGTCATAGCATTTCATTATCGCTCGGCGACCAATAGGATCGCGGCATTGGCCGATAGGAGCGTCGAAGGACCAATCAGGGGGCGAGACGTGCAAGCACAATAAACCCCAGCGAACATTGTGTCCTTTGTATGATGTAGGAATAAGTGTGACCGCGACTTGACCATTAAAGCCACAACACGTGTCCCGCATGCATTGCTAACCATGTACAAGGTGTTCCACGTAACTAGAGTCAGGGTTTAAAAATATTTGGTGCATTTTAGGAAGACGAAACTAAACGAATAAGGTTGTTCATAGTTTGGAGCAAGTCAGGCTAATTTTATATTTTGGCCAAATAAGTAATTAATTAAGATTATTAAAGAACTTTTCAAATATTCAATTTAGAGTAAAAGTTCCAAAGAAAATGTTGTAGAGCGTCCTCGAAAATATCTAATTTAGTGTTTCTTTTTTTTCAAGAAACCTTTAACACGGTTCGTTCTGCCAAGGTTAAAAAAGTGCCCAAATTATAAAAAAATAAAAAAGGCGAATTTTTAACTGCGCCCAGTCAAGAGTGCTTTATCAGTATGCAGCATTCAGCTGCTGATAGCAAAGGCGGCGGCCTCTAAAAGGTTTTTTTTTTTTTTTAAATTCGAAATTTTCGTTTTTTGATAAAAAAAAACACCGAATTGGATGTTTCTGAGGACGCTCTACAACTTTGTCATTAGAACTTTTGCTCTAAATTGTTAATTTGTTAATTTGGCAAAATACAAAACATAGCCTCACTTGCACCAAACAATAAACAAACTTGTTTGTCTCGTTTCGTCTTCCTAAAATGCACCAAAATAATGCAGGCGTGGCTCGTTTCTTCTCCAAACGTTTTTCTGCATTCGTGGTGCGCGTTTTGTGGGTTAATGAACGTCGGTTAGTCATGCTGAGCAGTAATTAGCGAAATTAGTAAAATAGTTTCATGCTCTTGAATTGTCACAGTTAATAAGGAGCGAAGTGGCGACTGTCATGCCTTGGGTTGATGAAAGACGAGTATTAATACATTGTGTGAAATTTGCTTTAATTCGGCAAAACCTCTTTATGTAAAAAAATAAAAATATATGCAGTCATACAGCATCCTATTATACCGTATGATAGAGCGATATACACAAATATCTACAAAAATACTACTTTTATCAGTAGACTTTGTAAGCGGTTCAAAACGATCTCTCTTGTCTTGTACAGAAATTATAGACATTATACACCTAAAACATTGTCGGCTGTTGTGCGCCACATTCATTTAAATAAACTATTTTGTAGTAGTGGAATAATTAAAGACAAATGGAAGAAAATGCCATTTAGATGCCATCTGACAGGCGAAGTATGAAGAGAACCATGACATGAAGTTCGCATTCAGCATTGAAAGAAATAGCTTACAATGCGGCATATGGTTATGGTATTATGGGTTACTGGTCGTACATGTCATTTGTTGTTGTTGTTTTTGTGTTGTTTCCTGTCCTTTTTTTTGGGGGGGGGGGGGGGGGCGAATATTTTTTATATAAAAAGGATCACGCTGAGCTCTGCTTTATTGCTTATCCAGAAACAGTGCAGTGTTTTATTCGAGCATTTCACTGGAAATCTTAACATTCTTTTGAAACTTCCAACACATTTGATTAACGGTGGCGAGCTATATGGGACCTTCTTTTAGGGCTTATGGTAATTACCGATGAGAAATGGTTTTATGTAAATCAGCGTTTCCGTTTCCTTTCTATTTTCAGTCCTCACAAATAATCAGTCACTGGCTGAAGACATCAGCATAAACGAAGTGACCAAGAGAGCCATCGGTGAGTATTAGTCTGCGCATGTTCTATTGTGATCAGAAGAATTATGACGATTGAGAGGTGATTCTCAGTTATAAAATTGTGTTGGTCTACATTTCTATGTTAGCTTATGTCCGGCGCAGCAGGAGTTCTATTTTTGTTGGCTACGTCTTCGTGGTATTGAAGAAATGAGTGGAAAAGTTGGCAAACGCAAAGGTTTTTATAGTACGTCCAGGTACTGTCTCGGTAGTGTTAACTTTCACGAGAAAAAAAAAAAAAAAAGCTTACCTTACATCATCACTTCCAATCTTATGCGTGATAGATGTGTCAAATTATTTATTGTTTTCGTTGATTCAATTTAAACGTTCAATATAAAAAGCCACAAAAATATTTTCGGTTATTAAAAAATGTATTGGCTATTATAGTACATTCTCACAGTTTGATAGGAGCTTTACGTGTTAGTACCGATAATCGTTTATTATCTTAAATGCATTTGTTGTTAATGTTATCTCAGCCGCACAACTATGTTCAGATACGGCATTCGTAGCTTGCTGTCGTAACGGAGCTACAATTTGTACCACAGGAAATTTTTCAGAAATCGAACCTAGAGCTTCCACCATGATGAATACATTTTCCGCCCCTCATAATCAGTACGTCACAGCCAGAATAGAGAATTAAAAAACAAGGCTATTTAAATCTCGATTTAGGTTACGATTTAAATCACGCCAGTTCTTCTGTGATAATCTAAATCAAACGGTTTCCACAAATACAATCGGCAACATATTTTTAATTTACCGTTTTTCAATCATTGGATGCTTTAAGGCATCAAATGATAGAAAAACAGTGAATAAAAAATATGTTGCTGACTGTTTTCTATGCAACGCAATTTTATGTGCATTTGTTTTTTTATTAAATGCCAAACAAACGCACGTAGAATAAGTAAAGTAAATAGTAAAAAAGATTCATTGCAGCCCAAACATGAACAAAAAGCGGTCCTCTCCTGAGCAAATCGAAGCATTGAACTTTCTTTTTACCTTCCTTCCTTCGGCAGTTGGATAAAAAAAAAACTGTTTTTATCTACAGTGATTTAGAATCAAATTAATCTGACATAAATAAAAAAATTAAACTTTACTTTTCTAAAGACCATTTTGATCTTTTTTTTCTTTTCTTTTTTTTTTTTTGGGGGGGGGGGGGGGGCAAAAATAAGATTTTTACTCAAACGGCACCTTACCCAGCGCACAATCTTCTTTTTTTTTTAAACTTTATTATAAGAACGGCAAGAAAGCATGCACATTTAGACAATATTGAGGAGGTCTAATACTTGCGGACAACATTTTGTGGCTATGCACTCAAATCTATGGGCTCACGTGCGCTTGAGCATCTTTAGTGCACGCGCGTGCACCAAGGCAGCGCACGCGCGCTCTTCTCTTCCGAAATAGCTATCCGAGAATATGGTGCGGGTAACCGTGGTGCCGCGTAACACCAAATAGAGCTGAGTTATTTGCGGTTTAAGTGTGCCCGTGTAACAAGGCTATTAGAACGATGGCCGCAATACTTGAAACTTCTATATTTTGTTGCTGATTTTATTCCCCTCAGCAAACAAGACCATCTTCGTACGCCCGGAGGTGGTTGTCATCGTGGATTCTGCTCACGCGAGTCGCTTCAGGAGCCGGGGTGACTTGCTTCGCTACATGGGTGTCTTCATGAACGCTGTGAGTACCCTGGCCAGTGAAGCTATGCAGAGAGCAAGTCGTCTGCTTCCTGCAGAGCTCGGCGTCAGAACGACGCCATGGCTCTGAATGGCTTTGATTCGAAGGATAGCGGGTAGACCTCACTGCCTTGACGTCTACCCACTATTCTGTTTTTCAATCAGCCAATCAGAACTCGTCGTTCTGACGTCATCGCATCCCCTGCGCAAGAAGCAGACGAACTTGCACTCCGCGTAGCTTCAAGACGCTGCTGCTCGTATACATCTTAGAAAAAGCGCAGGAGGTTCGCTGCAAACACGATGACGAAGAACTATCTCCGGACATGCCTGAAGCACGTTTCAAGCATGTTTGTTACATAATTGTGTATGCTCGATACATGTTTGCAGAAATATTTTTGTATGACAATTGTGCAAGGCCGCCATCCAAGGAATAAGCACGCTTCAGACAGTGCCTACAGACTGTCTTTTGTGCGATGTATTGGCAGAGTGCGGCCACGGCGTTAGGCGCTATGAATGCCTTCGAAACTAAAACTAAGAGTGCTATACCCTACTGACCTTAGCGAGCACATGAATGGAAACTTTGTTTGAGAGAGTCATAGGGGGTTTCAGAGAATTCAAGTTATAAATGTATAGTTTAAAGAAAACTGCCCGTGCATATAGCCTTCTGCTCCCCAAAAGGCACTAGGAGAATATCGAGGCCAATATTTGTTTTCATCAAGAAAAAAAGCGTGCGATTTAACGTGAAGACTACGATTTCACATACTCATTACCATGTGAAACGTCACGTCAAAAAAAAAAATGCATTTTTATTTTCTGAGTATATTTCATGTAGCTTGACGTGATCTAGTTCGTCGGGTGCTTGCAGAAAACTACATGCGCGGGCAATTTCGAAGTGTACACTAAAAAGATCAAATCATTTCCGGCGTGGCGCACGTTTAACTCGTGTTGAAAGAGCCTGCATTCTACAATTACAATGCATACTGCGTTGGCTTATAATTTCTCATCCATAAACCAGTGTCGCCATCAACGGGCGGACCAGTCTCGCGCTGTTTACAAACTCGCATCTCATTTGCTTTTGCATTCGCGAATGGCAGCATTTGATTTTCTTGAAAACCAGTGCACCAATCGTGCTCGGGCGAGTCGGTCTCTTATAAAAACATATAATTCGCGTCCTTGCATCCTTGCTTCAGCTTCATAATCCCCCTGTGCTTGCAGGTAAACCTACGGTACTCAACAGCCGCCGGACTGGACATACAGATCAAGTTGACTGCCATTGTTATCAGCAGTGTAAGCTTTTATTACCGCCAGCGTCTAAGCGCAAAACATCGTGCGCTCTCGATTACTTTGGGTTGCCCATGTTAAAAACGATATATGCTTTCGACTACGCAGCCCGACCAGGAAACTTACTTCAAATACACGGGTAACCACGTCAATGCTGATCAGACCTTGGCTGGATTCACGCTTCGTCTGGCAACAGGATACATTCCCGGAAACTTTGACTTCGCCTACCTCCTTACAGGGTTAGTGTTTTAAACATATGTAAGCCCAGTATATTTTTGTCTTTGTTTCCATGGCCATTCGTAGTAAGGAATGATCGTTACACGAAGCTGAAGGCACTTTTCGAGCCTACTTGGAACATGTTGCCTAGAGCACTTAATTAAGCTGCACTGTTAAATAACAATTACAATGTAAATAAGTTACCATGTGCAATACGTGGATGCTTCTGAACCAATCACCCATTTTTCTTTATCACACATCTCAAGTTTCGACTGACTTCGACTTTATGTGATTCCTTGCTCGGTAAATAGCCTTAAACCTCCCTCAGAAACAAATTTGTTCAGTTTAACTTTATATTATTAAGGCCTCGAACTGGAGAATGGCGACATTAAATACGTTATGAGGGTTTATTTGAGTTGGAAATCTCCACCAACGTACGATGATCGGAAGAAAATGTTTGTAATCCAATTGTAATAGAACGATAAATAATTATTACGAGTCACATTACGCAGGGTAGTGACGCTCTCAACAGGGTGTTCCAAAAAATTACCAGGTGTTTTTTCTTGTTTTCTTTTGCCGCAAAAATTATGTACGCCAAACGCTCATTTACCGCCAAAAATGTAGCGCTTACGGTCTGAACCGGATGCCAATATTTCAGAAAATAACACTTACGTCTCATTCAAAAGTTGGTTGATTTTCTAAAAGTTTTAGTAGAAAAAAAAAAAGCTTTTTGGTCGCCATTTTCTCGTTGAAAATTTCAGAAAATTCCTTATAATTTTTGAATAAAATGGCGGTTGGCTTTGGAACTCTGGCATTTGTTTCAAACCGTTACCGCGTTCGGCAACGCGTAATTCATTTTTGCGGAAAAAAAAATACTTTTTTTATCATTGTTTAGGGGGGGGGGGGGGGGGGGGACATTGTGTATATTTATGCTCAATTCCGAATATTTTTTTAAGTTAATGATGACTTGTTACAAAAGGAAAGGTTAAAAAACAAACATAAATAAATTTCTGCATGATCACAAAATTAAAATATTAATCCTAAGCGAAAGAGATTGAAAAAAAAATATATGTCAATTCTTTCTGTTCACTTTATTCCGCATATGCAGGAGAGACATCGCCCAGGTCACCCAATCGGGTTCCGTCCACCCTGCAGTGGCGGGTACGTATGCATTTAGTCCTGCTCCTGTTTGCCTTCCATTACTGCATATACAAACTAAGACCTTAAAGAACCACTAAAATAGTGTTTTTAACAGTCTAATTGGGACACACGTGTCAACAAATTAATTTTACAAGTAATAAAAACTTTTTAGAGCACTATTGACGGTGCGAGATTTATTTTAAATCCTGGGCGCAAAGTGCATGACGTCACGAAATGGTCATACTCTCTTTCCACCTCAACGAGATGGTCACACGCCCTCTCCAATTCAATGTGATGACCAAGCCCATCCACCTCTCCTCCACACGCCCGAAATACCGAAAGAGAAAACAAGTAGGAAGCCGCTGACTTCTGACTCAATTGCGTCTCGCGCCGTCAATATTGCTCTAAAAAAATTAAGGAAAACTTTTCTCGCCTACAATTTATTTCTCGACACGCGTGTCCCACCCAGACTGTATAAAAAATGATATCTTTTCGGCGATTTTTTTAACGAATTTGGGACGTGACTCATTGTACGTTCATGCGTCTGCCTTCATTACTCGTCCTTCGTCGTACTTACGTGCTAATGGCTGTCTTTGACTACAGGGTTATGTTGAGAAAATGAAACACGGTTTTTCTACGCTTGTAAACAAACCACGCATTGCGAAAAGCTGAAATTCTGTCAGCGTGTGACCACTAGAGGTGGTGATAAGTTCGAGTACATGGCGTTATGTGGATCGAAGGATACAGAGGGAAAAACAAAATTTCTCTATTAGCCGACGTTTACCTAAGCTACATAACTACTTCTCAGAACCAGCTACGGGACTGCGTGCACAGGTTGTCAATCTACCCGATCGATCGGCTTTAACGTTCCTCCTGTTTGTTTGCACCGCAGGCGTGGCCTACATTGGCGGGGCCTGCACAGTGCAAAGAACAGGGATGGGAGAAGACGTACCTGGAACATACGATGGAGTTCACGTGGCCACTCACGAAATGGCGCATTTGTAAGTCCAATTATAGTTCATTTGTTACGGCTTATGTATATACTTTCTTTCTTACAATAACTTAAGAGCAGGCAAACTCTAGAAAACACACAAACACGGACGCACACGCTACAGATGTGGTGTGCGATGAAATAATCCAAACGCTCACCCTATAGTTAACGACAATGGGACAAAGAGTACAAAGAGTATGTGTGGTGCATCCGTCAGGACGTGGGGTTCTCGCTCCTTCCAGGATGGGCTGTGTCCACGACGGAGACCCTCCGCCGGACTACCTGTCCGACTCTCCGGGTGCCCAGGACTGCCCCTGGGACGACGGCTTCATCATGAGCTACAAGGACGGCGGGCAGAACCACTACATGTTCTCGCAGTGCTGCGTCGCTCAGATCAAACACCTCCTACAGTAAGCTCGTCACTCATGCACCGGGTCTTTTTTTTTTTTTTTTTTGAGGTATTAAACAGGACGACATGATGTCACAATGGAAGATGCATCCACGATGGTGGAGATAGAGCGAAAAGTTTCCGTACGCTCCGTTCCGGATTACGACCGACCGCAGGCAACGCAATTGCGATATGTGACGGTGCACTTTTGATGGCGCTTGATTGGCCTTTCGTTGCATCGTAGCATTGGCTACGTTCGGACTTAACGTGAGACTCGGTAAGGCGTATCATGTACCTCGATATAATCGCATCCCAGAGAATGTCTTATCTTGCCGAGTTCACATGGTACCGCATTTAAATGTGTCGATGTAGTCTATAATCCTAAAAAAAATGCAGAAAGGTAGATATTTTCTTTTCTTTTCTAATTGAAAACAGCATTGGCTCAAAGCGATGAGGTTTGGGGCTCGGTTGCTCCACTTGATATTTATAAACTTCGTCTAAATTTTCGTAAAGATACGTAGGAGATTTTAAGAGGTGTTCTACGATTACCTTATTTACAGAAATTGTAGACGCTTTTTTATATATATATACGAATGTTAAGAAATATTACGTCAATACTCGTGATTTCTTGTGACCGTCGACGTTTTATCAAATCTGCAAGTTTTCCTGGTGTGAAAAGCTCGATTCCTCAAGTTTCCATACACCGATTTTATCGCAAAATCTGCGGTAACTTACAGATCACACTCAGCGAAGGGCGAGTGAGAGGAAAATGCCACCCTTTTCATACATTCCCCGTCTATGAAAAAGGTTCATAATTCACAACGAATGCGTAAAGTCAATCCTCGGCAGAATTTGCATCGTGGTTAATAAGTTTCATCAAACTTTAATTATATCAGTGAACTTTCTTGTGTGTTGTGTTTGCTTCCTGTGCTTTTGATGTACGTGTACCTTTTGTATAGCAGTAATATTTATGATCCACCATTGCCATATAAACTGCAATTTAAGTGATGTTTCTCACTCTTTGTGCTTGTGCTTGTGCAGTCAAAATACGTCAAACAGTGACATCTGCTTTAATTGTCATAGCGGCGTTAATTCTCACGCTTCGTGTAGCGTGATTGTTATCATTTCTATGTTTTGCCCATCCTGCCTGGAGCCACACGTTCTGCAGAATGTAATCCGTCAATTATTAATCTTAAATAAAAAATTGTTTTTTTGTTTTAGACGCGGCAGTCACAACTGCCTGCTGGAGCAATACAACCGCCCGCTGAAGATGGACAAGAGGCTACCGGGAGAGCTGCTGTCTCCAGTGGACTACTGCAGGCTACGATTTCCCGAGATTCCATACGTCTGGACGGACGCGGTAAGCATCGCTTCAGACGCATTTGTAAATAATCAAAAAGTCGTGACGCTTCATACCCTCAATGTCCCAAACAGTGCGTATTGAGGTTTCATTAAAGCGTTTTTAAGATTTCTTTACATTGCACACCACCACGACTGGGCCCGTGCATATTTTACGGGCCAGACATGCGGACTTTTCTTTGAGTGAACAGCCAGCCGTTCTAACATAACGGAACAGCCCATCAATAGACCTTTTTTTTTTTAAATGCGCGCTCCATCTTGTGGCTACAACACCAATAATCCAAGGCAGCCATTGTTCGGGCACGCGCTCTGGGCATGCGTTCGGTGAGGACTCGGAACCAATCACAGCCTTCGTGCCCAGGAAATAGCGACCGCCAATGTTGCTTGATGGGGTTTTGAAAAGGGTCTCCATCGCGAACCCAGATTACAACTTTGAGTTAAGATAACGCTTTCAGTAAATGATTTTGACAACGGAATGTTCTGGATGCAAGACGCAGCGGCTGCAGTTCTAGTCTGAAAAGACGATTTCTTGCTGAACCGTACATGGCTTGTTCTGACGTCGCATCAGCTGCCATTGCGTAGTCTTGCTGCTGAGCGCGTACCTCCTGCAGTACACACATAGACCCAATATTTTGTTTTCTTTTCGGCAAGAACAAAATGCGATGACGTCAGAAACACAACAAAATATGATGACGTCACGTGTCTACCGGCGGCGCCCGTCTGCTCAACGTGCACAAATTTAAATCTGGCGCTCCACGTGAAATTACGGGACACTCTATCGGCTAAGGTCTCGTATGAACTACTGCGATTGGCCCTCTTTGGGTGTGACCGTATAACAGCAGCCCCTTGCAGCTACCTGGTTTTGGTTAAAATCCGCTTAGGGTAACGTTTTCTCCGCTACACAAAGGCTGAGTTTTCAAAGTCAGTTCACTTATTAGAGTTAGTCAGATCTTGTCCGAGAATCGGCATGCTGATTGCAACCGAATTCACTTTAATGGTGGATATTGAAAACATGTAGATTGAAATTTGAGTCGGCTGTCTAGTCGGGGCGATAGTCTTTGTGAGGCGTTCGTTTTTTGAACCGTCAGCAGCTCAATCCAGACATAGATGCACTGACCAATCCTGATCCCCTCCGATTTCAGTTATAAAGGTGTTTTTTCAAGATATTTCTGGTTTAACTTAAGGACTATTAACCATACTAACCTCTGGAATCGAAAAAGTAGCAACAACTTAGTCGCCTTCATCTCCCGCATCAAGTTGCACACTGCGATGCGCGTATGAAGTGAATTAAAGTGAATTCGCGAATGTATCCATACTATATAATGGCTCTCTATTTCTGTCACTACTTTCAGAACCCGGCGGACCTAATGCAGTGCAAGATTCGCTGCAGCTACCCAGTCAACCCCTACACAGGGCTCTACGTGTACAGGCAGGCGAACGCCCTGGATGGCACGACGTGTGCTGAAGGAAAGGTGCGTCGAATGATGCAGTTCACCCCTCTATACAGCTGCCGTATGATCTTCCAGTCCTTGTTATTAATGCGACCTTTTTTTCTTTCCCTTTCCAGAGATGCATTAATGGTGTATGCGGATGAAGGCTACTATAGATAACGTCGACAATGTGCTGCGCGAAGTTTATTTGTGTACAGTGTATAGTATTTGTTTTTATATTATTAAAGTGTTATTTAATTGTTGTTTCGAAACGCGAATAAAAGTTGTGTTTTGCTGGAAGCTTGGTCTGATATTTTTTAGCGTACCATATTTTTAAGCAGCCATTAAAGAAAGGCAGCTTACTTGGAGAACTTTAGTAGCCAAGTTCAGAACAGATATACGACGATTTAGTCAAATCTTTCGAGACGGAAGCGGTGAGGAATGCGAAAAGATAGCGTCACGTAAGAGTATATACATATCTGAGCCGCCAGCCTGTGCTCGTGTTCGGTAGAATTTGTTTAATCGATACATAACTGGAGGTTAGACTTCCGCACGGGGCATTTCGTAAAATCCAGCTAATTCACATGCGGTGAACTCTACATAAGGATACAGGTTCAGGGAGTAAAGTTCACAAATGAAGAAGAAGTTCAACACGTGTAAAACCACAACATTTCGGGTGTGCGTAGAGTTGATCGGCTCGCCACTTAAAGGGCCGCTCCAGACAGAAGTGGGGATCGTTAGTTTATTCTGAAATCCTCGTGGCAGGTGCCAGGACCTCATCGTGGAAGTGTCCACGAACTTTTAACTCGTGATTTGAAGAATAGAGCATACAAAACGCCCCTCTAAATTGCCGTATTGCAACTCACTCGATAAACGAGACGTGACAAAACAGGATCAGGATGCCGTCTCCTTCGGGCGTTCCTTCCTCCGTTCATTCCCGCCGTCCAGCATTTCGTCGTCGTGTTGCGTCGCTCAACGCACCTCAGGTGTCCGGGGAGAGCAGCTCGATGTTGGTATAGGAATCGAAAAGGCATGACGTCATGAAAAGGGGTTGTAGCATCCTGTTACGCCACAGGTTTCGTCGAGTGAAAAAAAAAAAAAAAAAAAAAAACGAATAGGTGCGTATCAATATCTGAGCTTCTCAAATTAATTTTCAAGGTGACATCTTAGTTACTTTGGTTCGATAATTTGGCAGCATAATTGAAGATACGTGAAATTGCGCGAGGCGTGAAGACCTACGATCGTTAGTTTTAGGTTGGAGAGGTCCGAGTGCTGACGACTTTCATCGAAAGGACGATAGTTTTCGAAATGCCAATACGTGCCAACAGCTTGGACAAACTGTTAGAACCTCTCGATGTGCAGTTTTCTTATTATTGCAAAGGTGCAAGCGAGCTGGACAAGAACGACGATAATAATCCCTGGACAATGGAAACAAGAGGGACAAAGGACAAACACGAATCTCCAAACACAACTAGGTGACTGGTGCGCGACTGAAAACAAATCCGCCTGGTCCTGGTATCGAACCCGGGACCTCTCCATTTCCAGTGGAACACTCTACCAACTGAGCTAACCAGGAGTTAGACGTCAATAAAGCAAATGGAATAATAAAAAAAAAAGAGTGGAAGAAAGTTAAGAGGGTGCCTGGAATCCAGTCGTTTCGCATGTGGAAATATGAAAAATCGAGTCAATAAGATTCCTTGTACGTACCACGCAGTGCAGACTCTGGGTGGAAAAAAAAAAAAACTCTGAACGTGTCGTTGGCGGCATTCAGTGGCGACGCTCACTGTTTCTCAACAAGAACGTGCTTATTCTAAATAAACAAAAGCAGGTTTTTTTGTTTTTTTTCAGTATGTGTTTTTCCATTCTTATAAGAACACATTACGACCACCCCCCCCCCCCCCCCCTTCCTCCTCGAACCCACACTCTCTTGCCCCTGCGCAAAGTCCCATATTATATTTTGACGGTGGAGGAGGCTTCCGTAATGACGCATGTTCCTAGTGATGCGTAGAGAACCAAATCAAACTATTTTGTCAATCAAACTACAAACATTCAAGTATTACAATGGAAAGGTAGCACAGTGACTATATACTCAACCAAATACAACACCCTAAGGACCAAACGCGCCGCTCAGCTAAATTTGTATTGGCAGTATGAGCCACACCAATGGTAAAAGAGCCCACGCGCTAATTATGAGATCTGGCAAGATTGTTTTGTATGAATACAAGAATATGTTAACTGTTCCTGTTACAAATGAGTCGTCCAAGATATAGACGCTTTCAGGCAGCTGTGCATGGGCGCCGCCATAACTGACCCTCAGTTTTTGTTCCCTATTATTCCGTTCGCCCCACTTCCTCATTACCACAGTAGGACCGGTTATTACCATTTTAAATGTTACTGTGTCCTTCTCCCCAGCATAGGCCCTTGTGGAGGCTCGTCAACGCCCGCTTTAGTGGCTCGGCATCTCGGTAAGACAAGAGAAGGTCGGCAATGGCGGCTCAGTATGGCGCGCGCTGAAAGCGTCTATAAGAACCGTTTTGGGCCTCTTGGCTCTTTGGCGACAGCATTAAAAACTTCCTGACTTGCGGTCGCTCCGGTCTCGCGTGTCTACTTCCCAACACCGGTGTCGAACTGCATTGGCCGGCTCTTTCGGATGTTTAGTTTCAGTACGTGGAGTATACCAAACGTACGGCAGGTGTCTACGTAACACACATCTGTGTCTATAGTGCGTCACACTGCCTTGGCGTCAATACGAGCGAATTTAAACCCTCCCATCCCCTCCCCCCCCCCCCCCCCCCAAACAAAAAAAAAAAAACGGTAATCGACTGCAACATTGACCTGGTTACACATTTATTTATTTTTATTTTAAGCAATATAATGCGACATCTTTTTGCAGATATGAAATTACCGGTTGTGAAGGATCCACCGAATAACGTTAGAAAAAAGTCGAAGATGATAATTTTGTTTTAATAAAAGCACAAAATTGGTGCTTTTATACTTCTTAGATTTCTTGAAACATTTCGGACGCGATGAAAAATATAGTTTCAGTAGTCGAACGCTATATTCTTTTTCTGAAAATGTACCAGAAATGGTGTACTCAGGACGAAAAAAAAATCAGGTTGAAGGTTTCATTTTTAATGTTCTAAAAATTCGCCGGAAAATGCGTTATTACGAAAGGGTTGCTCAAAAACCAAATTTGTCTTTCTATTTCTTTTTAAGTATATGATCAAATGAAATAAATTTGTGTAACTATAGTAGTAAAGTTTCTGTGCGTTCGGCATAAATAAAATTGTAACGTAGACTATTTTATTTTTTATTCCAGGCGCCTTCAAAGTTTCCTCAACGCTCAATTGGGAAAGTCCTGCTTCCAACCTCACTTTAGGTGTAATTTTTGCTCACAAATAAAAAAAAAAAAAAAAAAAAATTCTTGCAAAAGTAAGGTTTTTGCTGTGGTGTGGACATATTTCACTACATCGTAAAACAAGTAGATTGAAAACATAAAATAGACGTGACACCATTATGCATTGTCCGTCCTTATCTGAAAACACCCATCTCCGGAAGAAAATGAGCAAAAACGTTCGCAAATCGCCGAATGCTCCTCCCGAGAACATGGATATAACATATAGGGTGGTTTAAGTCACCAGGCTCGATCTAAAATGGACCGTGAAAATCGACGCCTACATGTAGCCCATTCCACGCCGACTTTTTCGCCAAGTGCCCGAAATACCCACGCTTTAATCCCTCGCCCGAGTGTGTACAGATAAATAAAATAAGAGCACTAGGGGCTTGCGTAGAGCAGCATTTTGAGTTTCCCGCCAAAAAATCTTACAAAACCCTCCCTTTTATGTTTTTTTTTATTTATTTTTTTCTTGTTGGTGATGATGATATTGTAACAGCCGCGCTCCGCCGCGGCGCCGCCGACCGTTCGACTGCTGAACCACAACGTCATTTCCGCGCTGCCACCGAAGGGTTGCAATCTAATCAATGAGTGAGTGAGAAAACGCTTATTTATTCATAAAAAAATATGGAGGGCGGTTACATTATGGCAGAACACTAAAATTCTGAAAATTACTAGTGCGGATACACGCCGCAGCGTGTGAAAAGGGTGGCGCTTTGATAATTAGGCGTCAAGTTTTAGCATTAAATGGGGTACGTCTCTTTCGAGGCGTAGTACAAAAAGTAAAACGGACGGTTAATTTACATTTTAATTTTATGAAAATAACAACCATTAGTTTAAGAGACCATGTAAGAATAAAATGCAAATATTTTGCTGCTTTTCCAAGAAACTAGCTCAGTCTAATCCGCAATCCACACCAAGTGACAAAGTCAAGCCGTAAACCAGTAAATTGCGCGCCAACATCCGTACTGGGTGTTAAAAGTCTCGTGTGTGCACTGTTCTCGATATTGGGGCGGTTAATTTTTGAATTTAAGTAGTTAGTCAGCAGAGTTAACCTTCAATTAGGGAATCAGCGTTCGATCGGGCGAAAAAGCGAAGAGTTGATTGCTTGACATGGCCGGGCAGTTCGGTGAAGGTAAGCGCTTATCTATCACTTGTTCGTGTTCGTGCACAGGCGTCTGTAAGAACTAAAATGCATCCACTGTACCATATCTTTTGCTACGGACTGCGCAGGCGTAAGCTATTGGTAGATCGTCATGTTTGGATTAATAAAAAAAAACATTCGCCGACAGCATTTTCTTTAATTCAGATTAGCTCTGCTATTCGATATCACATTGAAAAAAACGATGAGATATTTCACGTTAGTTTCGTGTGGGCGGTCCTGAGGCGAAGCCACCTTTCTGTGCTTTCACTCCTCTGTTGAATAGCGAAGGAGGACTTTCATTTCATTTCATTTATTTGGCTCGGGAGAGTCGGGAGTACAGCAGAAAGGCCGAAGACCCATACCAGTTGGTCTGCAAACACCCAAACTAAAGGGGGGGAGAAGGGGGGGGGGGGGGGGGAGGGGAAGCAAAAGCAACAAAATACTTTTGACAAATACAAGTTAAAGAAGTAAACAATAACAAGACAGACAACAACAACTAGATACTTGCACAAAGGCTATGTGAGCGAATGACGGAGATGGCTAGTTACTCTATGGCAGAAGTCCTTCACTTCATCTCGTGCCGTGGGTGGGCACAGGGTGGAGCTAGGTGGCAATGATCGCCAGTGCGTCACAGTCCTCACAACCAAAGACTGGCGATGCCTCTCAGTTCTGGCTAAGATAGGCTGCAATGAACCGGTCCGATTTTTCCTTAAAGGGAGCACAACGCCAAACTGGCTTGAGTTCAGAATCAAAAGGTTGGTCAGCAGTCGTAGGGAGGCCACCTCTCGCCGTAAGGCAAGCGGATTCCACCCAACAGCTTGCAGTAAATCGGCCGTTCGCATTTCACAATAATGTGCTATGCGTGTGTCGCACTGCCTAGCCAAGATGGCGTAGGCGGCCCGACGCTGGACACTCCCCAGTGCCGCTACAAGGTGTTCCTGGGGGGGCTCCGTACCGGGCAGCAATACTCCAGTTGAGGAAGCACAAGTGCAGTGAATAGATGTGGGAGGGCACAGGGTGAAGCTAGGTGGCAGTGATCGCCAGTGCGTCACAGTCCTCACAACAAAAGACTGGCGATGCATCTCAGTTCTGGCTAAGATAGGCTGCAATGAACCGGTCCGGTTTTTCCTTAAAGGGAGCACAACGCCAGACTGGCTTGAGTTCAGAATCAAAAGGTTGGTCAGCAGTCGTAGGGAGGCCACCTCTCGCCGTAAGGCAAGCGGTTTCCACCCAACAGCTTGCAGTAAATCGGCCGTTCGCATTTCACAATAACGTGCTATGCGTGTGTCGCACTGCCTAGCCAAGGTGGCGTAGGCGGCCCGACGCTGGACACTCCCCAGTGCCGCTACAAGGTGTTCCTGGTGGGGGCTCCGTACCGGGCAGCAATACTCCAGTTGAGGAAGCACAAGTGCAGTGAAGAGATGTCTTAAGCCCCCTTATAGCCGATTCACACGACGGACTGATCCGCGGACGGATTGATCACGTGACGACATATCCGCGGTTCGTCCGTCTCCCAAGCGCATCCACACGAGGGAGACGACGAGCAGACGCCAGTGAGGACAGACCGAATTTGTTCGCACCCCACAGTGCCGCGAAACTCCAACATCGCACAGTAGCACCGTTGTCCAAGAGAGAAATCGACGGTTGCTACCGCGATAAAGAATTGTACGCCGCTGCTACGTACAGATCGAGAACAAAACACCGGGACAGGCTTCGCGCGAAGCGCTACTAACTTTACTAACCCAAAGCATGACAGTGACACAGGCATGATCCTGCCCGAGAAAGCTTCGGCGTAGACGCGACGAACTTCTGGGCTCGCGGAGGGTCGTTTGGAGATGCCTTCACACATTCCGCGCTCGTGCACAACACTCAAGCACACCACATCCACAAGAGAGGGCTTGCTCGGTGAAATCCTGATTGGACGTGCAAGAATTATCGCGGCGTGCTAGACTAGTTTTGACGGGAGCTTCTTGACACGGACCCGGAGGAGCCCCGGAACCTGCGTCGCGTCAGCCGGACGAAGTTTCTGGAGTTTCTCTCACGCGTGGAACCAAGAATCGTACGACAAAATGAACCAACAAACGCACAAAACGCAACGACGCGCCATTTTTGTTGTGAACGCACAGAAGCAAAATACCAAGAAAACCATGTACCGTTGCCAGACTAAATGCTTTCCAAGTCAGTCTGCCGCCAAACGTCCGCGAGTGAAAAAGGCGCTCGACTTTATCAGTCCGCGCCTCCGCGGAGGAGGCGCGGATCGCAGGAATCGGTGACGTGCCGGTCACGTGGTACACGGTCCGCGGACGAAAATCGCGATTTGGTCCGTCGTGTGAATCGGCTATTAGCTACACGGAGACAAAATCCGAGCTGCCGACGCACCCTCGAAAGTACCTCTCCAACGTAAGCGGAGAAACATAGCTGGGCGTCCAGGGTGACACCCAACAGCTTTGCGCTTGATGTCTACCTGAGGGCAACACCATCAAGGCAAAGACTAAGAGGGGCCAGGGGTTGCCGGGCACAGGATATCATCATAGCCGAGCACTTTGCAACATTTAGAGGGAGCCTGTTCTCAGAGGATTAAGCAGACACTGCATCAAGGTCATGTTGGAGCTGCTGTTGGTGAGCAAGGGTAGAGATCGGGTGCAGAAGAGTGACATCATCTGCATAAAGCAGGGGCTTGCAGTACAGGGATGTAACAATGTCGTTGATGAAGACGTTGAAAAGTGTGGGTGGAAGCACACTGCTCTGGGGAACACCGGATAAGACCCCAACTGTATCAGACACTGCACCACGGAACACAACGCGCCGAGTTCGCTCACATAGAAAGTCTGTCAACCAGTTGAGGAGTTCACCACATACGCCAAAAGCACGAAGCTTGCTTATGAGGATCTTATGGTCTACTCTGTCGGATGCCTGCCGGAAGTCCAACTGAACAAGCGCAGAAGGGGTACAGCCATCCAGGTACTCACTGGCAGTGTTGACGAGAACAGCCAGGGCCGACTCGCAGCTCCGACCGGGCCGAAAACCATGTTGATACACAGTGAGCAGATTATGCTGTTCGAAGTGAGCAAGCAGTTTTCTGTTTATTACACGTTCCATGGCCCTGCAATCTACGGAAGTTGTGGAGATGGGGCGGTATGATGAGGCAGTGTCAGTCGGCGCCTTGCCACCTTTGTGCACAGGCGTTACCATGGCATATTTCCACTGCTGTGGCACCTTTCCCTCCGAGAGGAAGTTCCCAAAATGCTGGGTGGACGCCATCAGGTCCTGCACTTTGGGAAGCGTTGAGGCAGCGCAGTGCTTTTTTAGTGTCGTCCTCCGTGATCACTGGCCTGGCAGGTAGAATACGGTCAGATGTTTGGGCACTGGGAGTGCCGAGAGCTAGAGGCACATCTAGGTCAGCGTCGGAAGCCCGTACTGAAGAAAAATGGTCACTGAACAGCTCAGCAATAGTTTTAGGGTCACTGAGAACTGAGCCGTCCCTTTCGAACTCTGGGACAAAGGAGGACCTGCGCTGGCTCTTGACGTATGCCCAGAAAAGCTTGGGAGAGCGCGCAGCTTTCTTGGCGACCACGCACAGGTACTCCTTGTGGGCCGTATACACCAACTTTTCCAGGTCTCGTCGTGCTCTTCGTGCTGCAGCAAGGATGTCTGGACGATTTGTCTTTTTGACTTTTCTGAAGAGTTTCCTCTTTTTGTGGGAGAGGCGTATAATATCATTGGAGATCGAGGGGATCCTCCGACGGCTGGACAGATGCTTGGAAGGCACACAATCTGCCTCAATGGTGCTCATGATGTCCAGCCACATGTCGTAAGCTTCATCTACAGATGGAGTGTCGAGGACCAGACTCCAGGGTGCGAGATGTAGGAGGCTGTTCAGGTGCGATAGGTCCATACTGGAGAAGTTCCGTACCATTTTGGAATAATGGCCAGACTTTGGCAGCGTCAAAAGGCTCCAAAAGCGGATTGCGTTATGGTCGGGCCCAGCCAGGCTCGGTTGGATGGAACAGTCAGTTATGAGGGGAAGGTTGCTCACAAACACGAGATCTAAGAAGGACGCTTTGTCTGTGATCGACCTGTATGAGGGTTAGCGCACGCCTGAACAAAACCAGACGTTTCCATAACATCAAGGAGAGCATCGTCGTGCGGGCTCAGTGGGACAGGGGCAGAGAGGTCAGACCAGTCTATGTAAGCGTTAAAATCTCCAAAGACGCAGACACAGGAGTAGGCTGAAACGTCAACATGCGCCAGAGATTGCCCCAAGAGATCGTAGGAGGCAGCTTGCATGCTAGGTGGACAGTACACGCAGCAGAGCAACATCTTGCCCTTCCGATGTGTAACTTCGAGAAAGACGGCCTCAAGGTCCTCTGACCCCAGGTCGCGCCTCCGACGGCAGGGCAGTCGATGGGGCACCATTATCAATACACCACCCCCATAAGACGCACGGTCCCTCCTGTAGACGACGTGCCTGGCGGTATCGATGAGCTGACCGTCGTGGACAGTTGGGTCGAGCCACGTTTCGCAAAGACCAAGGACCGTGTCTGGACCCGCCTCGACCAACGCTTGGAAATCAAGTGTTTTGTTTTTCACTTAGCGGACGTTTGAAAACCACACTGCGATGCGGGAGCTCCCAGGTGAAGGGCCGACCGGAGCCGGCGACAAGGCGGCTGCTGGGGTGCGGAGTCCGTGGGCTGGCTGCTCGGAGCCGGAGCGAAAAGGTTGTCATCCAGGGGTGGGAGTGCACAGACTCCGCAGTACCACTCGGTGGATGAAGAGGAGAGTCTCCTGTAGGCTTTAAGTGACAGCAGCTCACACTTGCGATGGTGCCAGGAGTCGCATCCGTCGCACTGCAGCGCAGCCACATTCTCGAGGACCGGTCGGTGACAGCGGGGGCAAGTGGGCCGCGGCCCAGGATTGGGAGAAACGTCTTTGGCGAGGAGGAGGAGCAAGGTGACAGGCGCTTGCTGGAGTGAGCAGGTCGAACAAGCTCCGAGGGCAGTCATTTTTCCACTCCCAGTAGGCTTAGCTACAGTCACGGCAAAACCGGCATCACGGGGGCAGGCGACCGCGATGTGCAGCCCAAGTGGTACAGGCAGACGGGCGAGACGTTGATCAATACTCGAGATAGCAAGGCATGCCGGCGAAGGCTTGCGAGTACGAAAAGATAAAACAAAGTACGGAGACACGCAAAAACGTGCCCGCACTCTGCCATGTTGCAACAACATGGCGGAGTTATCTTTGTTGAGGAGCACGCGCTGTTGTCCCCGGCGCTGCACTGTTTTCGCAACCGCAACCGCAGTTGTGAGACCGCCCTGGGAGCACTTGTACACACAGTCAGCGCCCACCTCGACCAACATACTACCGGCGAGCTCATGCAGCTTGATCGGTTTCCTCCCTTTGACCGTCCGCTGCCCTACTTAGCAGCGTTGAGATCAAGGACATCTCCGGTGCTAGACTATCATGGCCCGGCTCTTTTTTCGGCAATAGGGCTCAGCGTGTTGTCTACCGTGCTGCAACATCTCCGAGCACAGTTGTCTTTGTTGGGGTACCCCAGGGAAGTGTCCACAGCCCGATGCTTTTCACGGTCTACATTGACAGCATCACCAAGAACCTCAGCTGCTTCCCTCTGTTGTACGCTGACGACTTGGCCCTGCTTTGACCCATTCACAGCCCTGCAGACTATGTCTCTCTCCAGACTGACCTCGACATCTGTCATCACTAGACTGAGGAACAGAACCTGCCTGTTTTAACGCCAACAAGTTCTGTGCAATGACATTTACTAGTCTCTGTCGTCTTCGCAAAGCACCCGCACTCACCCTTGGGGATCGGGATATCCGGTGTGCAACCTCAACAACTGTGGTTAATGTTGAGCTCGATGCGTAACTTGTTCACAGGACACATTCACTGAACTGTCGCCAAGTCACGCCGCATGCTTGGTTTCTTGTCACTTGCACAACATCTGGTATGCCATTCAGTGCGTTTCGGCAGCTCTACGCAATCCTAGTGTTACCCACGTTGGAATGATGTTCTGCCATCTAGCTTCTGTACAGCATTGGGCTGCATATACATTTTACAGTCACTGTGCACCCAAGACCCTGTGCCTCGTACACACAACTCGCGACCGACAGCCTGATGCACTCTGCTGCGTGGCAGTGGCTTACATCGAGGGTGCAGGCTGCCACAATCCGCCTGCTATGCCAACTCCAAGCACCGGGGTACCAGGCCCCAGTGGATGCTCAACGTTTAGACACCCGCACCGGCTGCCTTCATTTTCTCCTCACCCGAACACAGAAGCACGGCTCTTCCTGGCTGCCGCGAGCTGTCGCTTTATGTGACAGCTGCCCTCGGAGCTCACAGCAACGTTACTGAAACACTCAGTTGAGTAACTCCCATAGAGACAGCTTCGAAAAAGTGGCCCCAATCTGTCTCCGAGCACCGAGCTAATGACGAACACAACGCCATCATTTCTCCCACAGCGGCCACTCGAGGAACTGCACGTGACTTCTATTTTGGCTTTAAGAACAGATACAACGGAAGAGGTTACAAGGGTACCACCCCCGTCTCCCCGGCGGACTCGCCGCGTCGAAATATCGATTTAAAATTCACCTAGATCGGGACGCGCTACCTGAAAGCCCCGCTGAGGCATGGTTGTATAAAAACAGTATTAATTGTGCCGCAAAACCCTGCAAACTAAAATTTAAAAAAACATAACGCGCCCCTCTTTTTGTACTAAACTCCAATAAATTTCATACAAAAAGAGTCTTTTCCGTTTGTTTTTACGCAAAAACAGGCTTTCAAAAAACTCAATGTGACCACAGCACAGACAAACGATAAAGAGTGGCGCTGTTGTCGCATTTAGCTCGGTCTCGGTGGACGCCAGCGGCCCAGGTTTCGACGGCGAGTTTCCCAACTGAGTGTTTTAGTAACGTTGGCTCACAGTGACATTTCCCCCTACTCTCATAAACTAGGACTGGTCATGAAGGCTGCGCTGCCTGTGCTGAAGTCTTTGGCGTTGCCTTTGACGGACTGCAGCTGGAGCTAGCACGTGTTGTGTTCGGTGGTGGGCTTGCTAGGGATTGTGTGGTGGGTTGCCTCGACAGTGCACACCTTCGAGACACGTCTCTCCCTGCTTTCCGTTACAGGGAGAGACACGGTATAGCCTGACTTCCGCCGCCCAACCCCTTCCCCTTTTAGAGCGCAGCTCTTAGGCGCCCGTTTCCACGCTTCACGGAGTCAGCGTAACCGCCCCGCTAAATTTAGCAGGAAATCGAATTAATGTTGAGGTCACGTGACTTCAATTTTCCCGCTAAATCTAACAGAGAAACTGAATTTATTCATGGGTGATGTGACACGAAGTCATGTGATGCCATTTCCCCGCTAAATTGAGCGGGGAAACTGAATTGGTGTTGAGGTTACGTGACATCAATTTCCCCGCTAAATCTAGCGGGGAAACTTAACTTGATAAATTTAACGGGGAAATTGATGTCATGTGACCTCAACACCAATTCAGTTTCCCCGCTAAATTTAGCGGGGAAAATGATGTCACATGACCTTGTGTCACTTCACCCATGAATAAATTGAGCAGGAGGGGGGAAGGAGGGGCATACACTCCCCTCTGCACCCTCCCCTCCGTACCCCCCTTCCTTCCTCTCAAGAACTGCGCTCTAGTTTTGCAATACAGAGATTTGTAAACGTCTTCCATTCTCTTTTGTACCCTCCTTTTGTTGATGCCTATGTATGCACTTACGGGCCCCAGGTTAGGTACACAAGCCATTCCGGTATGGGCAGCTTTGTCTTTTGTGACCCCATGTGCCTGGGTGCAAATAAAGTATTATCATTATTATTATTATTATTATTTAGGACAACAGATGAATGTTAATGTATTTAAGTATGTGATCGTACCAGCCACCTTCTGGTTTGGAGTTTACATTACATCATTTGAGCGCCTTACAGGGGCACAAAAACGTTCCAAAAGCAGAGATAACTGCTTTTGGAACGTTTTTGTTCCACTTACACGGGGGCATCTTTTTGTACACACTGACGCTAATGAGGCGAGAGCTCGGAGAGTTGCTGTTTATTGCATACACCGTTCTAAATGTCTGGTGCGTCGGTGTCTAATACCACGGTGGGTATTAGACACCAATGAGCCAGGACGGGTGAACCCTGACTCCAGAAACTTTCTTTGGTCCCCAACGCTATTTTCGCGCCATTAAATGCATGTCCCATCGTCCAACAATGTTCATTGAGTTCAGTTTTTGTGTGCGTAGTGTGAGTGGGTTCTGCAATGTTCCTTTTGTGTTCCAACGACGCCAACTTATGTAGCGTCAGATTAGCTACACTGCACTTTACAAACCGTCCTGCTTTGGACGTCTGCATCAGTGCACTCCATCGGCTTCGTAAAAACGGTTGGAAAAGTGTAACGCGGCTTAAAGACAATTCAAACACACAAGGAATGTAAAGCCGTTCGAATTGTGTCCGACGTGCCCTGGATGTGCGGGGATAGACTCAATTGACATTCTCCTTTCCCTTGACCTAAACTACTAACCACGTTTGTTACCTTTCGCAGATGTTCGTTTGATGACGCTATCACAACGTGATAAAAGGCGTTTGTACCACAGCCCGTGTGTGTTTGATCGGGTGGCATGAACTAAAGGACAACAAATTATCAGTGTTGCGAGGCTTGGGGTGCGTCGTGAGACCAGTAATCTTGCATTGCATTGATGAAGAAGGGTAAACTTTTATCAGTTTGTCAATTTTGGTTTGAGTGACATTTTAATTGAGCGATATATCTGCTTCTGCTTTCGAATCTTGTCTTTGCAGGTGGCGGGGGATTTATGTCAACGGACTTCGGGTTTTCACAAGCCACACCACAGCGCAAAGAGAGTGTGAGTTGTGTACCCGTCGTTGTCTGTCACAGATTTTCTTGCATACGTAAGCGACTGAAGTTCTGTGACCGTCCCACAGATTGACATGCAATTTATTTCTAAGTAAAATGTGAAGTAAAGTCTGGCTTCCAGGTGCCTTCTGGTACGAAGGTGCTCACTAAATGACAACATTCTATAATTGTGTAAAGCGACAAAAAGCTGCTGCTAGTTACACTTGCTGCAGCTTTTTGCCGCAGCCACCATCTTTCTTGATGAAAGAAAAATAAAAGATTAATTGAATAAGTGAGACTGTGGAATTTGAAGCTGAACCAGAGCTGCCGCACATTTCTCAAATATCCACTTCTAGAATAGAGGACCGGGTCACGTAAACAAAGTGCAGTATGACTGAACATTTATGTGAAAAAGCTCCATACAGGCATTTTACAAAATGCTGAACGCTTCATTACAGACTGTCTTTAATAATAAGGAAAAAAGAAAGCTGTCCTCACTTATTAAAATGGTAATTTGGGCTAGCTGCTTCACTCTCACGTTGAAGGTTTTCATCCCCTTTCTTACTGTCTTTGTGTAGTTTCGGCACTTCTAACTTGAATGTGTCCACTTAATCAGTCTCTTAAACGGGTGCTGAATTGAAACTTAAGATATACCTCTCACGTTCAGAAATAAGTTAAGCGTGATCAGTTCTATCTGCTAATGACAATTGTATGCTTATATTATTTTAAACAGATGACTCTATTTATTGTTCTAAATGTTCAATTTTACCGAGCACTTTGAAATCAGCCATCTGGGAGCTTGTCGGGATATCTGTTGGCCCTGCGACTTGCCTGCGACGTCATCAGCCTTTCTAGGGTCAAGCGCGCCATAGTTATGAGCATTGACACTTAGTGGTGTCAACGCGTTACTACGGTGATATATGCTACAGCCCTTGGGCACTGTAAGCGAGGTAGACGCACTATGACAACACATAGTCCGTCGTCTGCTCTGCAACTTGCCGATATGGCGACATCGGCAACGTTGGTTTCGGGCGTAAGCAAGCTGCTCCTTAAACGGTATGACATCGTCGCGAGGCAGCTAAGGTACCTCTGTTATCTCGCACAAGGCGAGGCGCCGGCAGATTTCCTACCTCATATTGTCTAAGGTGACGGCAGGATCATGTGTGGCATAGGTAGGACGAGACAATTGCTGCTTACCTGATTTACCATTGACTAATCAAAATGACCCGACTCAGCGAGGATGCCAGCTTTACGAATAAATAAATATTACTTTGAAGGCGCCATACCAGTTGGTATCTTTCATATATTCAAGCAAGCGGGGAAGTAGGCTGAGTCCTGTGAGGCAGCACGGTAGTGGCATCACTCGAGTATTTTACGCAGCGTATCGCATCGATAGTGGTATGACTGCAGCAGCATCACGCCACCACGAAGAAACATGTACAGCACAACGATTTTGCGACATTCCTTGTCACAAAGGCGAACACTAAACAAACTATGGGAAGACGTCGGCGTAGAGAAAGCTTTCGCTGGTCTCAACGGGCGCGATTTTCCGAGCGAAGGCACAAAGCACAGAGAACACGACTGTACAATTCTCACGTCGCACAAAAGCTACCATGAAAAAATGCTTTCATTGCCACGATTTTGCAATGCGACTTGTCTCAATGGCAAACACTAAACGAATAAAGAGAAGCGCACCACTTCTGTCGGTCTCGTCCAACAAGTCTTACACGATCATCCATTTGGGGACACTTAGCACCAGGCACGTAGCCAGGGGGGAGGCCCATGGGGCCTGGGCCCCCCAAAATCTTCCGTTTTGCTGGGACCTCCTCTCCCCCCTCCCTCTCATACAGCATTTTGTCATGGGCGGGCCCCCCCCGAAACAGAATTCTGGCTACGTGCCTGCTTAGCACGTTGATGGTGACTAAGTTGTACAGTGAGACGATTGCTGAATTCTCACATCATTGCACAGAAACAACAATGCACAAAAGCGGATACCAGCACAGCTCTGCGACGTAAACCCAGGTCACTTCGACAGGTCAGCTTTATTCGGCGAGAGCGATGCTGAAGGCAGCGCATGCCATGTTGAAAAATATAGTTCATCAGCCCCTGAGCCAGTGACGTCAAAGAATGACTGGAATCGATTGGCTCGCCGAGTGAATCGAAGGTGGCGAACTGTGCTTTAGTTTTCTTCACCAAACCTTCAGCATTACGTTCTTGCATTAGTAGTCTGTACTATAGTCCGTTGCAACTCAAGGAGGTAAGGCGAGGGTAGGAGGAAGCAGACGGAATGCTGGAGAAGAGAGGGTGAAACCTCCTTCTCTCTTTAGCATTCCGTCTGCTTCTCCCTCCCCAATCCGTCCTACCCTTTCTCTACCTCCTTGAGTTGCAACAGACTATAGTTTGCATACTTCTCATATAGTGGAGCTGCCGTTGGAGGCCGATGCCGTTATGACATTCCATCGAGGCTTCATAACCAACAACCAGATGGTTTTTGGTTATCGTTTTATTCGGTTTAAAATATTTTTTGTTGCGTTTTCAGGCAAAATATTTATGTTTCTGATGTTTTATTGCTACCTACGTCATGTTGAAGCAAAGAAATGAGCTCCAGAATTTTATTTCCTTGCCCCTTTAAAGGGGCACTGCAACGATTTTTGTATTTTGCGCAAATACCGCTTAGAACGAATCCCTGACGTTAATGACCTGTGAAATACCCGTTCGTTTTTCACTACACGCAATCGAAGTCGCAGAAAAAAATAAATAAAAACGAGCAGACTTCATCCCCTCAACTCGCAGCCAGAACAAGCGGCCACGTGATCTGGAGCCGACTATATGCCGCCAATGTTGATCATAGCCATGCGCTGAGGTTGGCAAGGCACAGGACACGCGCTGAGTTCCAGGCATTGTTACGGTTCGGCTGTTGTCGTCATTGCAGCGATTGGACACACAACACTACCCGAATGCTTCTCGAGCTATAGATTATCACGAGCCCAAACCGAGTGTGCCCACGCAATGCTCGGGTCCAATCTATGAGCCGCATTCAAATATTGTCATTGGGCGGTACTGCTACCGCCGAGCTACGTAATCAGGTTTTGCGAAGGAGAGATTGAATGAAAACGCTCGGTATTGTCCTCAAAATTACAGCGCAAAAAAGAGTTTCGTGGTCAGTGGCTTTGCGTGCAAGTATCCTTGAGTCCCATTAGTGCCAGTAAGCTCGTGTAAAGTGAAAAACATTCCAATTGAATATTGTTGCACCGCCCCTTTCAAGCATGTGCGTTTGCCTTTGCCTTCATTGTGCACTTCGAATACCTTGCCATGAGCAGCAAGTGAATTTTAAAAGCTCTCTTACAGAGAAGGTACAGCCAAAGTCATGACGAAAAATGTGTAAGAAATTCCCTCGTCAGGACTGCACATGCTCCTTCTTTTCTTCGTTGTCTCCTTTTACGTGCACCGTTTTTGTGTTTTGAAAGAAATTCTCGCGTGACATCTGTGGGAAGTTGACAAAACTCGAGGGCTGGCTCGCAGAATCGTCCCGACAACGTGGTCCCCTGCACCATCGCCCAGATTCATCGGATGGGAGAGGGGGAAGATCACATGACCGTCGCCGGCCTGGAGGTGCAATATGTAAGTGGAGGTTTCTCTCTCCCAGGTCACTTTATGGGATGTCCCCCCGCAGCCGTGCACACACGTGCGCCGAGCACCTTTTAACAGAGCATGTTCACTACTGAGGTGCGAATGGATGTAGTGTTATATTCCGTTCACCTTTAAGTGGACAGGGCGGCAAAGGCTATGGTCACTGACAAGTGGAGAACAGCGGCACGCTCGTTGCCTTCTGCTATGCTTTGGCTGTGCGTGCAGGCTCGAGACTTACGAGACGCCAGAGCGCCGTCGAAAGTAGGAAGCTTGCGCCGGAGGTGGGGCAACTGAAACAGGTCCCTGCCGTTCTCTTCATATATGAGCGCTATCCAGCAGACTATGCAAGCGTGAGCCAGCAGAAGCTATCGGCTTTTAAATGTGCTTATCTAGCACAAGTGCTTGCGTTGAGAAAACGCCTTCTATGAACCTGATCTTGTGACTAGTTTCAGCTGACCTGTAAGCTTCAGAGAGGAGGAAGTGTAGTTTTATTAAGGGTAGGTGTTGTAGCTTCAGTCCGTAGCGTACACCTACGGCATGTTTATTGAGGTTTCCGATAAAGCAGAAAGAACCAGAATCACATGTGCGGCTGCATCTTATGATATAGCAGCCGCGCTATCGCGGGATTCAGTTATGTCACACTTTCCCCGAATTGCGGCACTTCAGCTCATACACGGTGCCACAAGATTCCTTTCCCTCTACCAAGTTTGAGATCTCTACAGCTTGTAGCAATTTGGAGGTCAGCTCTGTTGTGTGCTGTGTCAAAGCAGGGATTGAGAAGGGTCGTTCCCATCATCTGAGGATGGGAACGACAAAACGGTCCTGCAGTGTCACGAAACCGCCCAAACTCGCAGGAGGCTGCGAGCCTTTCTAATTAAATGCAAATGTCGCCACCATTTCCTTCTTGAGCTGTGCCCTACTGTTGTATCGGAATCGCTGAGCAACAACCATCAGCGTCGGGGCATAGTGTGCCCCGACAATTATGCCCCGACACCGACGTCCTTGAGACAGTCCTTGGGGACTGTGGCCTGCACATACTCCATCTGTTATGGCTTCACTGGGACAAACAGAGTCCTTAGCGTATGATACACCTGCTTCCCAATGGCAGTTACAAAGATGGAGACTCACGAGTCGTCCTTCACTTCCGTGACATACAACTCAAAGTCTTTGTCCCCGTCTATGGTGAACTGCTCAAACAAAGCAGAACGTATTTCCTACAGGCTTAGCCTATTTCTCATCGATGTGAAAGAAGGCTATACGGGGAGCATGTTGTCTGCTCCTTGCACAGGAGTTGCGGTGACGTCAGAAGGACGCTGAGCTCCGGCTTTGCTTGAAAGGATGGTGGGTAGACCTGAATGCTAGATGCCTTGAGGTATATCCACTATTTTTTTCAATCAAGCAATAAGAGCTCAGCTTTGTGACAAATTTCACAACCCCTGTGCAAGAAGCAGATGAACTTGCGCTCCGCATTGGGGCCGTTAAAACATTTGGTACCAAAAAACAAAAATTTTGGGGGCTTGCGTGCCATACCGACGAGGAAACCGCGTCTTGGCAAAGGGCAGAGAACCAATTCAGAACATTCAAGAATCTTTGGACCTGCGATGAATATTCCAGTTATGCAGCATTGACAATGCGACGGACCTCCATCAGATTGCAGGTGCCTCGGCTGAAATTGGGACTGTTTGACTGTAGAGAAAGGGTCACATATTGCATCCGTATTGCAAAACCCTTTCTATATATTGTCCCACGTCCCCATTTTGCCAGGTATGGTGCTGCAACTGCCGTTAATAAATAAATAAAGAGGATCTGTAGAGCAGCGCCTTGTGTCAGCACTGAAACTGGAGCGTCACTCTCAGAAACTGCAGCAGAGCACGTTGAAGTAGTCGTTCCAATTGTTGCTCGATTGGCCCATGTCCAGAAATATATTTCGAGACCACTTTCCTTTTCCAGAAATACACAAGAACTCTAGCTGTCAGTTTCTCTAGCTAATTTGGGCACAGCCAAAACATGGATGCATGCATGCATGCACGAGGCTGAATCCTTTGAATTGGGTGGTGGCTTGCACCACCTAGCCAGTGTTCAAAGCAACCAAAGGGAATCGGTGCCGCCCAGTGGATGGTAGTTAGATCGTTTTGCACGTGGTGGCAGCATTGGCTCTCTTGAAGAATCTTTTGTGTTCCTGAGTGTTTTGTGATGGGTTTTTTTTTTTTTTTTATCTATTTGTGTTTGTTTTGTTCAGTCATCTATGATATGTTATTATGTAGTTTAGTGGTTCTCAAGTGGGGGTCCGCGGACCCTTTGGGGTCCGCGAGCGCATTTTAGGGGTCCGCGAAGCCCTGCCTCATCAATAAAGCTCGGTAAGAAAAGTTGTATTTTTTCTGATCGAGGAGAAAAGTTTTTGGGCGCATTTTCTTGTGTGAATGTCAATAATAGAAGTCTACTTCACACCAGCCCTTAGTTATACCCATTTATTAAATCATTATTATATTTAACAAAAAACCTTTCCCCTCCCTTCACCACAAACGGGGTCCTCCATCATTTCCGCCGAACTACAAGGGGTCCGCGAAACATCGATGGTTGAGAACCACTGATGTAGTTCATTAAGCATCATTGTTTAATGTGGTATACATATAGAATGGCATAGTGTATTATTTTCATGTTTGCGTGCTATCTCGTATATGATGCATGTAAGAATGTTTAACACTCTTGATCATGCTGACAAGGACACAGGATATGTTGAGCAACCATACGCATAAAGTGTGTGGGTTGCACTTGCTGTTCATGTGTGGTGGGTGATGGGGGTGAGGCTGATGTGTGCGGGGCTAACTCAACCACACACCTTATGTGTGGTAGCTAGTGCAAGCTTTTTTACTTTATCGACCAACAGTTACCGGTTCCCATGCACCTGCACCGCTTAGCTGAGACGGTACAGCATCTGACCGAGCATCGCTTGATCCCAATTTCAATTCCTGTCAAGAGTACGCTTGCATTTGTGTTTTAATAATGGCTGCTATGGGCCTATGTGCTTTACACAAGGGTTGCTCAAGGTTGACTAAGACTTTCATTCCTACGGAGAAAATGTCTCAAAAGCTTGAAGCTATGTCAGCTTCTCAGTGAACTCCCCATGCGTGTCCAGACTCCGGTCGCTTTGGCAGATCCCCAGTTCCTTTGTCTTAAAAAAAACTGGACTGTGTCATTGCGGTTTCATGAACGTGTTTGTTCGGTTCATTTTGCTGTCATCCTTCACCAAACTTTTAGTGCCCTTCCCAAACCCTCATTTGTGGCACTGTTTGTTTCCCCGTGCCATGCTTGCAACCTTCTCAAATTTTGAGTCAGTTCTTTGTCTTTTATGAGAAATTTAGCTATACACGCTGCTCCACAGCTACAAACACGTTGCTCGCCGCCACGACACTTGGAACTGCTGCGCAGATGTTGAATATGTCATTCCATGTGCAGGATATCCTAGAAGGATTACGTGAATGTCCTCCGCAAATTTCTTCGTGCTACGGTTCAATTTCTTGCAGACAGAAGTCAACTTTGAATGACCCTTGTATAACTTTAGCCTATATGTAACAGTCGAAAGTAACAATTTTTCATAAAAACGACCGATATAACACATTCTGCATTAAACTCCCAGGTGACAGTGGTAGGCCTGGTGACCCATGTTGATCAGCAGTCCACCAAGGTGTCCTACACGGTGGACGACAGGACAGGTCCACCGCTGGAAGGCCACATCTTCGCCACGGAACCAGAGGTGAGCACTTCGCGTGACCCCTTCCAAAGAAAGCCCAGTGAGCTGTCGAACTCTGGCCACAGGAGCAGGCCAGGATCCTGAGCCAACTTGTGGAAGGGACGTACGTGCGCGTCGTTGGATCCGTGCGTTCGGTGGACGGCAGACGGATGCTGAAGACCTTCCGCGCGTTCGGGCTGACCGACCTCAATGAGCTCACGATGCACCTGGCGGAGGTGATCCACACTCACATGGCGCTGCTGGTTGACAGCAAGAAAGCACCCGTAAGCGGCGCTCACTTCACTCGCTTCCCACGTCTGTCAATTTCGAAGAGGCCTCTTTCGATTTCCTTTTGTGGAATTTTCGCACTTTTCAGGCGGAGGATCGAGTGGATGGTGGAGGAATGGTGAAACCGGAGCCCATGGACACGAGCACCTTTGGTGGCGGAGCGGCGAACAACAGCCTCGGTTTGGAACCGAAGCAGAACATGGCAAGTGGCTGTCTTCACGCTCTCTTGACCACATAATACAATTTTTTCTAATATTTAATAAATGCCGCTGAGCTTTCCCGACATGTACCCTTCGCGGTGGTTCTGCAAGTGCCTCCTTTCTATTTGTTTTTCTTTTTCCACATTAAGATTTTTCTCCTAAAAATTCTAGAGTCAAACGCCTTATAACAAATGTTTCTACTATGAAAACACCCGTTTAACTGAGTAAAATTAGGTCTTTTTCTGATCTCCTGTGTGCTCAATGTGTTTCTCTGACTACTGCAATAAATTCCTGCTTGACAAATGTTTTTGTTTAACAAAGCAATTGTGCAGCTCCACAAAGCAAAACTGCTCGGTATTGTGAATTTTCTAGTTTAAAAGTAATCGATTTTACGTAAATATTTGCTCTCAAGTGGCGCACATAGAGGGCAGAAATACAGCGGCGCTGGTTATCACCGCTGCCACACCGCCTCCACCATGCCCCTCCGCCGTTGCCGCACTGTACATTCTAGGTTCTGTGGATAAATAGTTTGTTAGGCCTCATTCATAAGCCGGCGTTTCGCCTTGTCCCGGCGAAAGCGCCGGGGGCGCCGTGCCGAAAACAGGACGGTGGGGGGACGGAGGAGGGCTCGAACCAGCGGCGACGGAGCTCCCGGCGGTGGCTATAGCAATAGATGGATGCTGGCGGCTGTGTCCCATTATATTGGGTGGTAGCTTGCACCACCTAGGTTAGAAATCTTTCTGCACCTTTCAAATTTCGCGTCGAACGTTTGTATTTTGTGAAACTGTATACAGTGTAGACCGCATATAACGTATGTCGTTGGAGTCGCGAAAATCCGTACTATAAGCGGTACTGCATTATAACCAAAACCTCAATTTTTTAGGCCAAAATACATGCCATGAGACAACTTACCTTTGTATAAGAATTTATTTTATGTTAGATGAAAAATAAAGCTTAGTTTGAGGAAAGTCTTTATTTCACCAGACTAGTACACTTCTCTCTCAAGTGTGTCACACATTTCGAAAGAAATGAGCGACTTTTGCCTGGCGCAGCCTTTTAATGGAGTCGCGGGTTGCGGACGGACGTTGCGAGCGTTCAGGATTGCTAACCCTAATCGCTTTTCTTCGGTGATGAAAACGCGTCGAACTTCGCATCCTTTATACAGTACGCACCAGTAATACCTTCAACTTTAGCACGGGCATGAAATGCTCCAAATAAGAAATCCGGGCGATGTTCGAAAACACAAATGCTTAGAAAGCACCACTGTAGTCGAAGTAAAAAAACACGACGACACGGGCGTTTCTGCCGTCTTGAGAGTGCCACCACGACATCGCCACACGAGTAGGTGGATCTTCCCTTCTAGTACGTGCTGGCTTATCATAGGGACACACAACGAAAATTCACAGTCAAGGATAGCGCTTTTACGCGGAATGATGAGCTTCCACCACGCCATCTACGTCGACGATCACAACCAACGCCATGTTTGCGGATAGAAGAAGCCGGCCCACGACCGGCATGCAACGTGCACAAACACTTCTTCTCGACCTGCGATTGGGCTGTCGTTACGGTTGTCTCCAACGCAGCGGAGAGACGCACGCACGTGAACGACACGTGCGTGCATCCCTCTGTTGCTATGGCAACTGAAGCCTCTCTCTTCGCTTCTCCGAGCAACCTCCTCGCCCCGCGAGTGCCGCTTGCAGCTAGCGCCGTCGTCTAGTGTCACACAGGGAAGCATGCTCGCTGCACCGGTCGGTCGGCGCGGTCCGCGGGCTGTTCCAGAAACCGCACTATAACCGGTATTTCCCTTCGCGCTCCTGCATTTTAAGTGGTATGTAATTACATAAAGTTCTATGGGAGGCGAACCGGTGGTTTAAAAGAGCCGCGTTATACCCGGTCCTGCACTATAAGCGGTTGCGTTGTAAGTGGTCTATACTGTAGCAGGTATAACCTATTATTTCGTGTGCAATTTCACACTTCCCTCGATCTCTACTACCAATCTTGTAATCCCGTATTTGTGGCTGCTTTGTGGCAGCGTCGACCACCAAATGTACCGGACTATCGGCGTCGATGGGCGCAGCCGCAACTGTTTTGTTCCTTGGAGCTTGCGTTTGGGTCGCCGATAACGATCTTGCATGTTTCAAAACATTGATTTTATTTGTCTCCACGTTTCGAAACAAAAGCGACAAGACACACCGTGAGCACGTTTCACATCAGTCACTCCTTACGCCGCATTTCGTCCCCGATCATCGACGACCGCATTTTCTTTCTTTGGCTGTTCTTCCTTAAAATCGCATTTACGTCTATCACAAAGGAACCGATGTGGTCTCACCATTTCGAGCAGCAGCTCAGCGGTAAATCCAAATCTCTGTGTGCCCGTTGTTCAAAAGCCGTAAACATCACACAATGCGCCCGTCGTCTCGCTGGCCTCCCTCCTTCCCGAAACGAGCTTTGTTGACTTCGTCGACTCGTTAGGGCACAGTACGTTCAATTCCCCCTGCCGCGGCCGTGCCCATGGTCACCCAACCTTTGAGAATCTGCCAGATTCAGCGAAAGTTTCCGATTTTGTGATTGGCCGTCCCTCGATGGGGCGGGGCGCCGGCGTTCCCGGTCTCCCGCCGGTGCCGGGGACGTTGAACATCCTCGTTCGGCCCATTTCGGGTCTGGCGGCCCGATTTCGGACGGAAACCCGTCCCAACACCCTCTCCCCCGGCGAAAAGGACGGCCGGCGTTTTCGCCGGGCCGGGCGAAAAAACGGCTGTGTCAATGAGGCCTTAGTGTGCAAGCTTCTGTCTAGATTGTGCTACATGAATATGTTGCTGCATAGGAAGCCTACATGCAGCAACATACTCCCATAGCACCATCTGGACACAGGGTTGCATGTTAAGGGGGGACACTGGCTAGAGGTCAAACTTTTGAAATACTCAAGTGATCAAAATAAAATTTTCAGGGGAGATTTAGCTTCTGATGTAGGTGTACTGTGCAAACTTTCAGCTCCCTAGGACAAATTTACATACCTGCATAAGATGATGTGTCACTTTTCATTAAGAAATCTATGATATGCAAATGAAGCTATTAAGCACCATTTTAACTGTTTGAATATAAAGTGGGGGATATGGGACCTCGGGCTATCTAGTTTTAATAACTTACATGTAAATATTTCAGGAAGAGTTATTACCTCAAAATATGAGATGCATATCTGTCCTATGTCAATTTTTGAAAACTTAGTTTTTTATCACTGAGGACTTCAACTTAAAATAGCCCGATTCCCCAGTAAATTTCAGTTCAGAAACATCTTGATTGTGGTATCAAAATACTTTTACCTTCGAACAAAAGATTCCTTCGTATGAATTTGGTAGCAAAGAGTGGAACTGAGAAAAATGCATTCGAACATTGAACTCCTTTACTTTGTTACTGCCTCACAATGTGTTGAAAATGTTTTATATCAACGTAACTATTTGGCACATGGTTATCAAATTTGGTGTAGGGGTGTATAATGAGTTTATAAAACTGAAAACCTTCAAATTGAAAAATGAATTTTTTTTTAAAAATTAAAAATTTAGGCTTGTGTCCCCCCTTAAAACATTATTTAGACCCAAAACAGAGAACACTCAGCGCTGCATATTTGGTGTCGCATGCTCCACACGGCAAACACGTAGTGTAGTTTGCTTTCATTTTGCTCACGCCTTTGATTGAATACGCACCACATTGCTCCAATACAAGTTTTTTTAATTTTTACCATTTTGTTTGGGCAATACACTCACTTGTTTTCTTATTTTGTGTGTCCTTGAACGCATTTGAAAGGACCCGCGCGAACAAGAGTATAAAAGAAAAAAAGTATCTTCATGGGCAGTCGCAACTTTTTTATGCCATCTCGACATTTGTTCTACAGACGCTCCAATCTTCATCAGGATCCAAGATTCCCGATCTCACTCGATCCGAGTCCCAAATTGTTCCGCCTTGGAGTGAAAATATGCAGCCGAGGAAACGTGATCCATGACTCTACCTATGATGCCGAAACCTAAGCGAAATCAGCAGAGCCGCACAAAAAATATTCGCCCCTCTTTTTGTGCCGGACAGATGTGGAAGAGAACCGTCAGCTCGATTGTGCACCTTTCCCCTTCCCCGCCGCGCCGCGTGCCGAGTGCGCAGCCGATTTTGCAGTGTTGCTACGAGTAGTGCTGGTGTGCCCGCTGTGCTGTTTCGAGGGCCTTCTTCCTATGGCACGTGGTGGCGCAAGCCACCGCCCAATTCAGAAAGGCCAAATCTATGCAGTCGGCAATTGCCTCTCATTTGCTGTGTGTGCAATTCATATTTTAATGAGTTAGTCAAGTTTGTTGCGTTGAAGTTTAGATGGATATTAGTCTGCAGCAAGGAGCGCCTGGTGTCTCGACTGTAGACGACAAACTTTGAAAGTGAAGGTGCTGGCGGCACGTCCGCTAGTTAGTGCCTTTAAATCGCATCACGCAGGGGAGAAAAAACAACTGCATCTTTACGTGTTGAATGATGTTGATTGGGGCGAAGCTCTGGTGGGGCTTGTCTGCGTAGACGGTGAGCCGCAGCATGCCGAGCCTTTCGTTCGTTTTCGTCCATGTCACGCTGCGGTCAAATGCTCAAATGCGCATATAACCACATTCCATACCACACATTCTCTTTCTGACATGGATGAAAACGAACGAAAGGCTCGGCATGCTGCGGCTCACAGTCTACGCAGACAAGCACCACCAGAGCTTTGCCCCAATCAACATCACTCACCATGTGGAGATGCGGTTTTTTTTTTTTTCTATATGGGAGCATGTGCTCACGAGCAGGAGCACGTGCACCCGACGGCGGATGGATATACGGACATGGCTAGCCCCTAAGGAGCTTCGCCCCTAAAAGAAAGTGGTAATCGAGCCCAAGATGCCTGGATTCTGCAGTGCGAGGTTTTGCCCCACGTGCTCCGAGCTGTGAGGTGCTAGCAGACTCGGCCGCCTTTTCCCCTTTTGATAAGTCGATTGTCGAC